CGTGGATTCCATCGCTTTGCTCCTCGCCGCCGCGCAGGTCTCTGATCGAATTGAGCAGATGGGATCGCTGGAAGCAAGCATCGAATTGATCGGCGATCCCCAGGAGCCGATTCTCTACGTGAATGGGAAGCGCTACATTCTCCCCGATGGGTTAGCTCACACGACGCTGCTGGAGTATCTCCGAGGTGAGAATTTGTGAGAATTCGCACAGCATCGGTGCTCTTGTTCGCGCGATAATTTCCAGGGCTTGGCTTGACTGGAACGAAATTGGGATGTGGAGAAGGAGGGTGTGGAGCGTGCACAGTGATGATTTCTTTCTTCGACAATGAAGAAGACAAAATCAAGTAAGCTTGTCCCTGTTGAGATGAGAGCAAAGAATTAAACTGCTGTTCTTCTTTTGTTCTTGCTTGTAGTCATCGAGCGATCAACGCTTGCTTGGCTCCGCTCTACTCAGTCGAAGGCATGCACGTCATGACCGTGGAAGGAATTGGAAGTCGGCGTAAAGGCCTTCACAAAGTCCAGGTAGCGTTGATGCTAAAACTATACTCCATAACTTCTCTTCGCAAACTTTGTCACAGGAAGTCTTGGCTAACACACATGGCTCGCAATGCGGTTTTTGTACACCAGGCTTCGTCATGTCGATGTACGCACTGCTCAGGACTTGCAAGACGCCACCAACAGAAGAACAGATAGAAGAAAGCCTCGCGGGGAATTTATGTCGATGCACGGGTTACCGGCCTATTCTAGAGGCATTCCGGACGTTCACCAAAGCAGATAGTTTCCTCTACTGGGATGATTCTGCCAAGGCAAGTGGAGTCGCTGTGAATCGGGCCTCTCAAGGTGGTAAGATCTGTCCTGGTACTGGAAGGCCTTGTGACTGTGGACCTGAAAAGAAAACCGGTTGCTGTAGCGTACAGGAAAAACCATCAGAGATCAAGGATCGGGGGGAGCTTATTTTTCCTCCCGAGCTAATGACCAGGAAGGTTCAGTCTTTGGTTCTGAAAGGTGCTGGGGATTTGCAGTGGTTCCGTCCGTTAAGCCTGCCTGACTTACTGGATTTGAAGAAACGGTATCCGGATGCTAAGTTGGTGGTCGGGAACAGTGAAGTTGGCATAGAGACAAGGTTTAAGAACTTGAGGTACCCGGTACTGATTGCAGCTACTCACGTCGCAGAGCTCAACGCCATCAAAGTTCTCGACGATGGTCTTAATATTGGTGCGTCCGTGACGCTGGAAAAACTCCGGGAAGTGATGCATGCTTGTGTGAAGGACAGGAAGGCTTACGAAGTATCTGGATGCGACGCATTCTTGGCACAGTTGAAGTGGTTTGCAGGGGTTCAAATAAGAAATGTTTCCTCTATTGGAGGCAACATTTGTACTGCTAGTCCTATCTCGGATTTAAATCCTCTTTGGATAGCAGCGGGGGCCGTTTTCACCTTAGTTGATGACAGTGGATTGCCGCGGTCAGTACAGGCAAGCGACTTTTTTATCGGGTATCGCAGGGTGGCATTGCGGAAAGGAGAGATTCTTGCCAGCGTTTTTCTTCCATGGACGAGGAAGAACGAATATATAAAGGAGTTTAAGCAGTCTCACCGCAGAGATGACGACATCGCTCTTGTCAACGCAGGGATGAGAGTTCATCTAAAAGAGGAGACGGGGAAATGGCTCGTATCGGGGATTTCATTGGTATATGGTGGAGTTGCCGCTGTTCCCGTTCGTGCGAGCAAAACCGAGACTTTTATGCAAGGAAAAGTTTGGGACAAATCGACCCTGGAAGGTGCTCTTTCGGAGCTTCAGAAGGACATCATCATTGCCGATAATGCTCCCGGAGGCATGGCCGAATTCAGGAGGTCTCTCATTTTGAGTTTTTTCTTCAAATATTTCTTGATGGTGGCGGACAAGCTTCAACAGGATGAAAATGTCCAGCACGAGTTTTCCGAAAGGTTCATGTCAGCAGCTGATCCTTACAAGAGAGACATTTCTAGTGGGATGCAAAACTTCAAAACTATAGTGGATGGCTCAGCTGTCGGTCAGTCTATCGCTCATGTTTCAGCAGAGCTTCAGGTAACACCACAGTTTCTTTCGCACGAAAATTGAGCTGAAAATGCAACAGGTATCTGGTGAAGCACAATATCTTGATGACGAGCCTCTTCCACCCAATGGACTGCATGGTGCGTTGGTTTTGAGTACCAGACCGCATGCTCGTATCGTTTCTGTTAGCTACCGAGAGGCGGAGACTGTTCCTGGTTTCGCTGGTTATTTTTGCGCAAAAGACGTTCCTGGAGGAAATGATATTGGAGCTGTGGCGCATGACGAAGAGTTATTTGCAACGAACGTTGTCACATGTGTTGGTCAGGTAGGAATATATATGTTTTTTAGTCATGGCTAATTGCTCTTCGCTGTGCCAGGTGATTGGAGTTGTTGTTGCTGATACTCAGTATGCAGCAAGGGCCGCAGCACTAAAGGTCAAAGTGGTTTACGAAGACTTACCTGCGATTCTGAGCATTGAAGACGCCATTGAGGCTGAGAGTTTTCTTCTGAAGGCGCCCCGAGTTCTTTCGAAGGGGAACGTACAAGAGTGTTTCGCCAGTGGGAAATGCGATCACATTGTCGAAGGCACTGTGCAAATGGGAGGACAGGAGCATTTTTACTTAGAACCGCATGGAACAACAGTATGGATTCAGGATGGTGGAAATGAGGTTATGATGCTATCATCGACACAGGTAAGCTATTCTTGCGTTCAAAGGGCCAGAACTTACAAGGTTTCTGATGTCTACAGGCACCTCAGAAGCACCAGTATACTGTAGCGCACGTCTTGGGCATTCCAATGCATAGGGTGGTTTGTAAGACAAAACGAATTGGCGGTGGATTTGGAGGAAAGGAAACTCGTGGATTTGTCGAAGCAGCTGCAGCGGCCGTCCCTGCATATCTCTTAAGGAGGCCGGTGAAGCTAGTACTTGACAGAGAAGTGGACATGGCAATTACTGGTCAAAGGCATGCTTTCCTTGCGCGTTACAAGGTACCTTGTTATTTCTCCATGTGTGCGTTGCTTTGATTCATGGCTCTTCAATGTGAAGGTTGGTTTTACAAACGAGGGAAAAGTTATGGCATTGGACCTTCAGATATATAACAATGGTGGCAACTCATTGGATCTTTCGGACGCTGTTCTGGAGAGATCCATGTTCCATTCGGACAACGTTTATGTGATCCCGAACGTGCATATATTTGGAAACGTATGCTTTACAAACATTCCCAGCAACACAGCGTTTCGCGGATTTGGCGGACCTCAAGGGATGCTTGTTACGGAGAATTGGATTGAACACATTGCAAAAACTCTGGGAGTACCCGCTTCAAAGATCAGGGTGTGTATCTCTAAAAAACGTTTTTTCTTTTGCTGCCAACGCTCAAAAACTTATGTTTTTACTGTTGACATTTTTAGGAAATTAATCTCCAAGGAGAAGGTTATGAGCTGCATTATAGCCAGGTTCTCGAGAACTGTCGTATAAAACAGGTTTGGTCAGAGTTGAAGTCTTCTTGTGAGCTTGCCTCACGCATGCATGAGATCGATTTATTTAACAAGAAAAATCGGTGGAAGAAAAGAGGAGTAGCGATGGTCCCTACAAAGTTTGGAATATCATTTACAACCAAGTTTATTAATCAGGTGAATGGTTTAATCAGGCAGCTTTTGATGGTGGAAATGACGGAATTTTCTCGTCCAGGCAGGTGCATTGGTCCAAGTTTATACAGACGGTACAGTTCTAGTGACACATGGTGGAGTTGAAATGGGACAAGGTTTACACACAAAAATCGCACAGGTCGCTGCCACTGCTTTCGATATTCCCATAAGCTCAGTATTTATATCTGAAACAAGCACCGACAAGGTACGCTGCTTTTCACCTTTCAAGTTCTGCTCACCACGTCTTGGAATGTAGGTACCAAATGCTTCGCCTACTGCGGCTTCTGCGAGCTCTGATATGTATGGTGCCGCTGTTATCGATGCATGCAACCAAATCAAAGAAAGGATGAGACCATTGATGTCTCAGTACGACTCGTTTGCGAAGGTACTAATCGTTGAAGTTACGTTTCTTTGGCTAATCTTTGTTGTTATATTGCAGCTGGTTATGGCGTGTTACTTACAGCGTATTGATCTCTCAGCACACGGGTTTTACATAACACCAGACATTGGTTTCGATTGGAAGACAGGGAAAGGATCACCGTTCAGCTACTATACTTATGGAGCTGCTTGTGCCGAGGCAGAGATAGATTGTCTTACTGGTGATTCACACTTGAGACGTGTTGACATCGTCATGGACTTGGGACATTCGCTGAATCCCGCTATTGATATTGGCCAGGTTCGAAGAGTAGAAAAGTTGCTACTTGCTAACAGTTTCTACGTACGTGTAGATTGAGGGTGCGTTTGTCCAAGGCCTCGGCTGGGTAGCACTAGAAGAACTTAAGTGGGGTGACAAAGCTCATCCTTGGATAAAGCCCGGATATCTTTTCACTCAAGGCCCCGGAACTTACAAACTGCCAACAGTAAACGATATTCCGATTGACTTCCGAGTCTCGCTCTTAAAGGTTTGGAATCTTTCCTTCGTAGGACTTTGGCTGATGATATGGTGACTAAATCCAGGATGCTCCGAATCCAAGAGCCATCCACTCGTCGAAGGCAGTGGGGGAACCCCCGCTGTTCTTAGCTGCAGCGGCGCTTTTTGCAGTAAAAGAAGCTATCGCTTCTGCGAGAGCTGAAACGGGACTTCACGGGTGGTTTCTTTTGGACACCCCGGCCACTCCAGAAAGAATCAGGATGGCATGCGTAGATGATATCACTGCTCGCTTCGCTTCGGCCGACTTCCGTCCAAAGTTAAGCGTTTGATTCTCCTGCTAACTTTCTGTACAGAAATTATACTAGAGATACCCCACATCTTTATCTACATATTTTCGTCTTTGGATCTCTTTCAAGACACTGTTCTTCTCTTCATCAGTTGCCTCATACTTGGAATGGCTTCCAGCCGTGAGAGCGTTCCTCACGTCGTCGTAATTCCTCTTCCAACACAAGGTCATGTATCTCCACTCATGCATCTCTCCCAAGCTCTCGCCTCGAGAGGCTTCGTCATTACTTTTATCAACACAGAGGCCAATCAGGAGTGTATGAAGAACACCTTGGAGGACGGCCATGGCCTAGACATTCGTTTTGAGAGCGTTCCGGGCATCCAAGGAACTGGTATTGACTTATCTCATGACGAAGGCCGGCTCATCTTTACTCAAGGCTTGATCAACATGGAAGGGCCAGTCGAGAAGCTGCTCAAGGACAAGCTAGTCAGCGCAGATCCCCCAATATCGTGCTTGATCTCCGACATGCTCTTCAGGTGGCCGGAAGGTGTTGCCAGGAGAATTGGAGTTCCAAATTTTATCTTCTGGTGCGCAAGTGCCTCTTGTATTCTGCTCGAGTGCTCCGTTCCTCAGATGTTCGAGAAGGGAGACATACCTGTCAGAGGTAAAGAACTTTCATCTTTTTTATGAGTTCTATCTGATTCTAACTTTGAGTTCCAGATCTCTCGATCGACAAGTCAATCACGTATGTCCGTGGCTTGTCTCCAGTGCCGCTATGGGGCCTTCCTTGTGAACTATCTTTCAGCGACGATCCTGGTTTTACTCGCAGGTACAACAGAATAAACCACGTCGCGACAGTGTCGGGGGTTTTGGTAAACTCTTTCGAGGAACTCGAGGGCAGTGGTGCATTCCAGGCGCTGAGAGAGATCAATCCAAACACGGTAGCAGTGGGACCAGTGTTTCTTTCTTCGCTAGCAGACAACGCGAGCCTCTGGAAGGAAGACACAGAATGCCTGACATGGCTCAACGAGCAGAAGCCACAGTCGGTTCTCTACATATCCTTCGGCAGCCTCGGGACGCTCGACTTGGAACAGCTTAAAGAAATACTAGCAGGATTGGAGGAGCTCCAGAGGCCGTTTATATTAGCCATTCGTCCCAAGTCGGTCCCAGGCATGGAGCCCGAGTTCCTGAAGGCTTTCAAGGAGAGAGTGATCAGCTTTGGACTGGTTGTGAGCTGGGCTCCTCAGCTGAAAATCCTCCGGCATCCTTCCACAGGTGGATACTTGAGTCACTGCGGCTGGAACTCTATTCTCGAGAGCGTATCTTCGGCGGTGCCAATCCTTTGCTGGCCGTGCGTTGCCGAGCAGAATCTCAACTGCAAGCTTATAGTGGAGGACTGGAAGATCGGTCTTAAGTTCTCGCGCGTGAGAGATCCTCGCAAGGTGGTGGCCAGGGACGAGTTTGTGGAGGTGGTGGAGCAACTCATGGGAGCCGAGAGTGGCGATTCCTTTAGACGTAATGTGAAGGAGCTCAGCAAGGCGGCTCAGCGAGCAGCAGTGAAAGGAGGATCGTCATATGAAAGTTTGGACAAGTTCGTCAAAGCTGTGGAAGTTTTATAAGGTATGGTTTGGAAATTCTATATCCATTCGTGACATAAAGATGACATTTGACAGTGTATAGGTGGCGTAATGTTGAAGTAAGAGCTAATCCAGAAGAGGTAATGTGAGAAACGGCAGCATAGTCCCTTCCTTCCAGAGCACTCAAGAAGTAAGCTTGAATTTGCTTTTTTCTTCGTTCAATGGGTTCTAGTGGTGGCGAGGGGCTCGCTCCTCACGCAGCGGTTCTTCCCATTCCAACCCAAGGCCACATCACTCCACTCCTCCATCTCTCCAGAGCGCTGGCGTCGCGAGGCTTCGTCATAACTTTTATCAACACGGAGGCCAACCACAGGGACTTGAAGGACGTCGTTTCGCAGGAGGAGAGCTTTGGCTATGGCGGCGGCATTCGTTTCGAGACGGTCCCCGGGATCCAAGCGAGCGAGGCCGACTTCACGGCCCCGGAGACGCGGCAAATCTTCTTCGAGGCGGTGATGGCGATGCAGGGTCCAGTGGAGAGCTTGCTCATCAGGAGCATGGCCAGAGACGATGATCTCGTTCCTCCGGTCTCGTGCTTCATCTCGGATATGTTGCTCCCGTGGTCCGCGGAAGTAGCAAGAAGGACCGGAATCCCAGAGGTCAAGTTCTGGACCGCCAGTGCCTCTTGCGTTTTGCTCGATTGCTCGTTTCCGCGAATGCTGGAGAAGGGAGACGTTCCAGTCCAAGGTAAGGCTTCTTTCTTCTTTTTTATTTTTCCTTCTTTCGAGAAGCACTAACGTGTTCCGCCAGATCGTTCCATTGAAAAGTACATCACTTACGTAGACGGCTTGTCACCACTGCCAATCTGGGGCCTCCCGCGCGACCTTTCTGCCATTGACGAATCAGGATTCGCTCGCAGATACGCTAGAGCCAAGAGCTACGCCACAACGTCGTGGGTTTTGATCAACTCGTTCGAAGAACTCGAGGGCAGTGCCACCTTCCAAGCCCTCCGAGACATCTCTCCCAAAGCAATCGCAGTGGGTCCTCTTTTCACCATGGCCCCCGGCTGCAACAAGGCAAGCTTGTGGAAGGAAGACACCGAGAGTTTATCCTGGCTCGGCAAGCAAAGTCCCGGCTCGGTTCTCTACATTTCCTTGGGCAGCATCGCGACCCTCAGCTTCGATCAGTTCAAGGAGTTCTCCGAGGGACTGAGGCTTCTCCAGCGTCCGTTTATCTGGGCCATCCGACCCAAGTCGGTCGCCGGCATGGAGCCCGAGTTCCTGGAGCGTTTCAAGGAGGCCGTGAGGAGCTTTGGACTGGTTGTGAGCTGGGCTCCTCAGGTGGACATCCTCCGCCACCCTTCCACGGCTGGATTTCTCAGTCACTGCGGCTGGAACTCCATCCTCGAGAGCGTAGCATCCGCGGTGCCCATGCTTTGCTGGCCGTGCGTCGCGGAGCAGAATCTAAACTGCAAGTTGATAGTGGAGGACTGGAAGATCGGTCTCAAGTTCTCGTGCGTGACCATGCCGGATCCTCCCGAGGTGATGGCGAGGGACGAGTTTGTGGAGGTGGTGGAGCGATTCATGGGAACTGACAGTGAGCATTTGAGGATTAACGTGAAGAAGCTGAGCGAGGAGGCTCGTAGAGCAGTGTCTAGTGGTGGCTCCTCATATGAAAACCTGGAGAGATTTGCTCAAGCAGTGAAAATTTCCTAAACTTCAATCCAAAGCTAAGAGAAAACTTCAAAGCATCTACTCTATTCAAGAATATACTACAGTTCTTTCTCTCTCTCTCTGAAGATAAGCACGCGCTTTGCGCGTATAATGGGTTCCAAGGTCAATGTTGTCGCAATTCCTCTCCCAGCTCAAGGCCACATCTCTCCACTCTTGCATCTCTGCCAAGCTCTCACTTTCATCCTTTGGGGGATGCTATCTCCAAAACACGCAACCATGAGGGAATGTGCTGGACTTTGTTACGTGCAAAAACCCATGGCTAATGTGCTAATGTAGACTCTAAGGTGATGCTTTATATCAGAAACTGATGTGAGGAGAAGAAACTAAAGAAAAACAAAGAAAAAATAATAATAAGAAAGAGAGTGTAAAGTTCTGGAGTCAAAGGGGAACCACATGGGGAAACTTGATAAAAGAATTAAACACTAAAAAATGGAAAAACAAAAAGTGAAAAAAACTAAAGAGCAAAGAACAGCTTAAAGAAATACTAGCAAGATTGGAAGAGCTCTAGAGGCCAGTTAGAATGGCCATTTGTCTCAAGTTGGTCCCTGGCATAGAGCCCGAGTTCCTGGAGGCTTTCAAGGCTCTCCTTGCAAGTGATCAGCTTTGGACAGGTTGTGAGCTGGGCTCCTCAACTGGAAATCCTCCAGCATCCTTCCACAGGCTGCGAGAGTGTATCTTCAGCGGTGCCAATCCTTTGCTGGCCATGAGTTGCCAAGCAGAATCTCAACTGCAAGCTTATAGTGGAAGACTGGAAGATCGATCTTAAGTTCCCGCCCATGAGAGATCCTCGCAAGGTTTAGATGTAATGTGAAGGAGCTCAGCGAGGCTGCTCAGGGAGCAACAGTGAAAGAAGGCAGGATCTTCATATGAAAGTTTGGACAAGTTTGTCAAGTTTCATAAGGTAACTTATATCCAATGCCGCAGCTGGTGGCAGGAGGATCATCGGGCATGAGGGCGGGGCCAATGCACAGACAGACCAACCACCAAGAGCACATAAAGATGATACTTGAAAGTGTATAGGTTGGTGGAAGTGTTATTTTCCTTCCCAAAGAAATAGATGGCGTAATCAAGAGGAGTAAAACATTCCTGAAGGAGAACACTAGATTAAAACATTTGCAAAACGCACTGATTCTTAAGCTCAGCCTTGGAGCGATTTGAAGCTTATCCAGAAAAGGTATTGTGAGAAACGGCAGCACCTTCCAGAGCACTCACGAAGTAAGCTTGAATTTTCTTTGTTCTTCGTCAATGGGTTCTTCTACTGGTGCCGAGGGGCTCGCTCCTCATGCAGCGGTTCTTCCCGTTCCAACCCAAGGCCACATCACTCCATTCCTCCATCTCTCCAGAGCGCTGGCGTCGCGAGGCTTCGTCATAACTTTCATCAACACGGAGGCCAACCACAGGGACTTGAAGGACATCGTTTCGCAGGAGGAGAGCTTTGGCTATGGCGGCGGCATTCGCTTCGAGACGGTCCCGGGCATCCAAGCGAGCGACGTCGACTTCGCGGTCCCGGAGAAGCGGGGGATGTTGTCCGAGGCAGTGATGGAGATGCAAGCTCCAGTGGAAAGCTTGCTCATCAGGAACATGGCCAGAGACGATGATCTCGTTCCTCCGGTCTCGTGCTTCATCTCGGATATGTTCCCGTGGTCCGCGGAAGTAGCAAGAAGGACTGGAATCCCAGAGGTCAAGTTCTGGACCGCCAGTGCCTCTTGCGTTTTGCTCGATTGCTCGTTTCCGCGAATGCTGGAGAAGGGAGACGTTCCAGTCCAAGGTAAAGCTTCTTTCTTCTTTTTTATTTGTCCTTCACTAACGTGTTCCGCCAGATCGTTCCATTGAAAAGTACATCACTTACGTAGACGGCTTGTCACCACTGCCAATCTGGGGCCTCCCGCGCGACCTTTCTGCCATTGACGAATCAAGATTCGCTCGCAGATACGCTAGAGCCAAGAGCTACGCCACAACGTCGTGGGTTTTGGTCAACTCGTTCGAAGAACTCGAGGGCAGTGCCACCTTCCAAGCCCTCCGAGACATCTCTCCCAAAGCAATCGCAGTGGGTCCTCTTTTCACCATGGTCCCCGGCTCCAACAAGGCAAGCTTGTGGAAGGAAGACACCGAGAGTTTATCCTGGCTCGGCAAGCAAAGTCCCGGCTCGGTTCTCTACATTTCCTTGGGCAGCATGGCGACTCTCAGCTTCGATCAGTTCAAGGAGTTCTCCGAGGGACTGACGCTTCTCCAGCGTCCGTTTATCTGGGCCATCCGACCCAAGTCGGTCGCCGGCATGGAGCCCGAGTTCCTGGAGCGTTTCAAGGAGGCCGTGAGGAGCTTTGGACTGGTTGTGAGCTGGGCTCCTCAGGTGGACATCCTCCGCCACCCTTCCACGGCTGGATTTCTCAGTCACTGCGGCTGGAACTCCATCCTCGAGAGCGTAGCATCCGCGGTGCCCATGCTTTGCTGGCCGTGCGTCGCGGAGCAGAATCTAAACTGCAAGTTGATAGTGGAGGACTGGAAGATCGGTCTCAAGTTCTCGTGCGTGACCATGCTGGATCCTCCCGAGGTGATGGCGAGGGACGAGTTTGTGGAGGTGGTGGAGCGATTCATGGGAACTGACAGTGAGCATTTGAGGATTAACGTGAAGAAGCTGAGCGAGGAGGCTCGTAGAGCAGTGTCTAGTGGTGGCTCCTCGTATGAAAACCTGGAGAGATTTGCTCAAGCAGTGAAAATTTCCTAAACTTCAATCCACGGCTAAGAGAAAACTTCAAAGCATCTACTCTACTCAAGAATATACTACTCTTTCTCTCTCTCTCTGAAGATAAGCACGCGCTTTGCGCGTATAATGGGTTCCAAGATCAATGTTGTGGCGATTCCTTTCCCCTCTCCACTCTTGCATCTCTGCCAAGCTCTCACTTTCATCCTTTGGGGGATGCTATCTCGAAAACACGCAACCACGAGGGAATGTGTTAGACTTTGTCATGTGCAAGAACCCATGGCTAATGTGTTAATGTAGACTCCAAGGTGATGCCTTATGTCAGAAACTGCTGCGAGGAAAAGAAACTAAAGAAAAACAAAGAAAAAATAATAAGTGTAAAGTTCTGGAGTTAAAAAGGAATCACATGAGGAAACTTGATAAAAGAATTAAACACTAAAAAATGAAAAAACAAAGTGAAAAAAGCTGAAGAGTAAGGAACAGCTTATAGAAATACTAACAAGATTGGAAGAGCTCTAGAGGCCAGTTATAATGGCCATTTGTCTCAAGTTGGTCCCTGGCATAGAGCCCGAGTTCCTGGAGGCTTTCAAGGCTCTCCTTGAAAGTGATCAGCTTTGGATTGGTTGTGAGCTGGGCTCCTCAACTGGAAATCCTCCAGCATCTTTCCACAAGCTGCGAGAGTGTATCTTCAGCAGTGCCAATCCTTTGCTGGCCATGAGTTGCCAAGCAGAATCTCAACTGCAAGCTTATAGTGGAAGACTGGAAGATCGATCTTAAGTTCTCGCCCATGAGATATCCTCGCAAGGTGGTGGCAGGGACGAGTTTGTGGAGGTGGTGGAGCAACTCATGGGAGCTGCGAGTGGCAATTCCTTTAGATGTAATGTGAAGGAGCTCAGCGAGGCTGCTCAGGGAGCAACAGTGAAAGAAGGCAGGATCTTCATATGAAAGTTTGGACAAGTTCGTCAAGTTTCATAAGGTAATTTATATCCAATGCCGCAGCTGGTGGCAGGACGATCATCGGGCATGAGGGCGGGGCCAATGCACAGACAGACCAACCACCAAGAGCACATAAAGATGATACTTGAAAGTGTATAGGTTGGTGGAAGTGTTATTTTCCTTCCCAAAGAAATAGATGGCGTAATCAAGAGGAGTAAAACATTCCTGAAGGAGAACACTAGATTAAAACCTTTGCAAAACGCACTGATTCTTAAGCTCAGCCTTGGAGCGATTTCAAGCTTATCCAGAAAAGGTATTGTGAGAAACGGCAGCACCTTCCAGAGCACTCACGAAGTAAGCTTGAATTTTCTTTGTTCTTCGTCAATGGGTTCTTCTACTGGTGCCGAGGGGCTCGCTCCTCACGCAGCGGTTCTTCCCATTCCAACGCTACGCCACATCACTCCATTCCTCCATCTCTCCAGAGCTCTGGCCTCGCGAGGCTTCGTCATAACTTTCATCAACACGGAGGGCAACCACAGGGACTTGAAGGACATCGTTTCACAGGAGGAGAGCTTTGGCTATGGCGGCGGCATTCGCTTCGAGACGGTCCCGGGCATCCAAGCGAGCGACGTCGACTTCGCGGTCCCGGAGAAGCGGGGGATGTTGTCCGAGGCAGTGATGGAGATGCAGGCTCCAGTGGAAAGCTTGCTCATCAGGAACATGGCCAGAGACGATGATCTCGTTCCTCCGGTCTCGTGCTTCATCTCGGATATGTTCCCGTGGTCCGCGGAAGTAGCAAGAAGGACTGGAATCCCAGAGGTCAAGTTCTGGATCGCCAGTGCCTCTTGCGTTTTGCTCGATTGCTCGTTTCCGCGAATGCTGGAGAAGGGAGACGTTCCAGTCCAAGGTAAAGCTTCTTTCTTCTTTTTTATTTGTCCTTCTTTCGAGAAGCACTAACGTGTTCCGCCAGATCGTTCCATTGAAAAGTACATCACTTACGTAGACGGCTTGTCACCACTGCCAATCTGGGGCCTCCCGCGCGACCTTTCTGCCATTGACGAATCAAGATTCGCTGGCAGATACGCTAGAGCCAAGAGCTTCGCCACAACGTCGTGGGTTTTGGTCAACTCGTTCGAAGAACTCGAGGGCAGTGCCACCTTCCAAGCCCTCCGAGACATCTCTCCCAAAGCAATCGCTGTGGGTCCTCTTTTCACCATGGCCCCCGGCTGCAACAAGGCAAGCTTGTGGAAGGAAGACACCGAGAGTTTATCCTGGCTCGGCAAGCAAAGTCCCGGCTCGGTTCTCTACATTTCCTTGGGCACCATCGCGACTCTCAGCTTCGATCAGTTCAAGGAGTTCTCCGAGGGACTGAGGCTTCTCCAGCGTCCGTTTATCTGGGCCATCCGACCCAAGTCGGTCGCCGGCATGGAGCCCGAGTTCCTGGAGCGTTTCAAGGAGGCCGTGAGGAGCTTTGGACTGGTTGTGAGCCGGGCTCCTCAGGTGGACATCCTCCGCCACCCTTCCACGGCTGGATTTCTCAGTCACTGCGGCTGGAACTCCATCCTCGAGAGCGTAGCATCCGCGGTGCCCATGCTTTGCTGGCCGTGCGTCGCGGAGCAGAATCTAAACTGCAAGTTGATAGTGGAGGACTGGAAGATCGGTCTCAAGTTCTCGTGCGTGACCATGCCGGATCCTCCCGAGGTGATGGCGAGGGACGAGTTTGTGGAGGTGGTGGAGCGATTCATGGGAACTGACAGTGAGCATTTGAGGATTAACGTGAAGAAGCTGAGCGAGGAGGCTCGTAGAGCAGTGTCTAGTGGTGGCTCCTCATATGAAAACCTGGAGAGATTTGCTCAAGCAGTGAAAATTTCCTAAACTTCAATCCAAAGCTAAGAGAAAACTTCAAAGCATCTACTCTATTCAAGAATATACTACAGTTCTTTCTCTCTCTCTCTGAAGATAAGCACGCGCTTTGCGCGTATAATGGGTTCCAAGGTCAATGTTGTCGCAATTCCTCTCCCAGCTCAAGGCCACATCTCTCCACTCTTGCATCTCTGCCAAGCTCTCACTTTCATCCTTTGGGGGATGCTATCTCCGAAACACACAACCATGAGGGAATGTGCTGGACTTTGTCACGTGCAAGAACCCATGGCCAATGTGCTAGTGTAGACTCCAAGGTGATGCCTTATGTCAGAAACTGATGCAAAAAGAAGAAACTAAAGAAAAACAAAAAAAATAATAATAAGAAGAAAGAGAGTGTAAAGTTCTGGAGTCAAAAGGGAACCATATGAGGAAATTTGATAAAAGAACTAAACACTAAAAAATGGAAAAACAAAAAGTGAAAAAAACTAAAGAGCAAGGAACAGCTTAAAGAAGAGCTCTAGAGGCCAGTTATAATGGCCATTTGTCTCAAGTTGGTCCCTGGCATAGAGCCTGAGTTCCTGGAGGCTTTCAAGGCTCTCCTTGAAAGTGATCAGCTTTGGACTGGTTGTGAGCTGGGCTCCTCAACCGGAAATCCTCCAGCATCCTTCCACAGGCTGCGAGAGTGTATCTTCAGCAGTGCCAATCCTTTGCTGGTCATGAGTTGCCGAGCAGAATCTCAACTGCAAGCTTATAGTGGAAAACTGGAAGATCGATCTTAAGTTCTCACCCATGAGAGATCCTTGCAAGGTGGTGGCAGGGATGAGTTTGTGGAGGTGGTGGAGCAACTCATGGGAGCTGAGAGTGGCGATTCCTTTAGATGTAATGTGAAGGAGCTCAGCGAGGCTGCTCAGGGAGCAACAGTGAAAGAAGTCAAGATCTTCATATGAAAGTTTGGACAAGTTTGTCAAGTTTCATAAGGTAATTTATATCCAATGCCGCAGCTGGTGGCAGGACGATCATCGGGCATGAGGGCGGGGCCAATGCACAGACAGACCAACCACCAAGAGCACATAAAGATGATACTTGAAAGTGTATAGGTTGGTGGAAGTGTTATTTTCCTTCCCAAAGAAATAGATGGCGTAATCAAGAGGAGTAAAACATTCCTGAAGGAGAACACTAGATTAAAACCTTTGCAAAACGCACTGATTCTTAAGCTCAGCCTTGGAGCGATTTCAAGCTTATCCAGAAAAGGTATTGTGAGAAACGGCAGCACCTTCCAGAGCACTCACGAAGTAAGCTTGAATTTTCTTTGTTCTTCGTCAATGGGTTCTTCTACTGGTGCCGAGGGGCTCGCTCCTCACGCAGCGGTTCTTCCCATTCCAACGCTACGCCACATCACTCCATTCCTCCATCTCTCCAGAGCTCTGGCCTCGCGAGGCTTCGTCATAACTTTCATCAACACGGAGGGCAACCACAGGGACCTGAAGGACATCGTTTCACAGGAGGAGAGCTTTGGCTATGGCGGCGGCATTCGCTTCGAGACGGTCCCGGGCATCCAAGCGAGCGACGTCGACTTCGCGGTCCCGGAGAAGCGGGGGATGTTCTCCGAGGCAGTGATGGAGATGCAGGCTCCAGTGGAAAGCTTGCTCATCAGGAACATGGCCAGAGACGATGATCTCGTTCCTCCGGTCTCGTGCTTCATCTCGGATATGTTCCCGTGGTCCGCGGAAGTAGCAAGAAGGACTGGAATCCCAGAGGTCAAGTTCTGGATCGCCAGTGCCTCTTGCGTTTTGCTCGATTGCTCGTTTCCGCGAATGCTGGAGAAGGGAGACGTTCCAGTCCAAGGTAAAGCTTCTTTCTTCTTTTTTATTTGTCCTTCTTTCGAGAAGCACTAACGTGTTCCGCCAGATCGTTCCATTGAAAAGTACATCACTTACGTAGACGGCTTGTCACCACTGCCAATCTGGGGCCTCCCGCGCGACCTTTCTGCCATTGACGAATCAAGATTCGCTGGCAGATACGCTAGAGCCAAGAGCTTCGCCACAACGTCGTGGGTTTTGGTCAACTCGTTCGAAGAACTCGAGGGCAGTGCCACCTTCCAAGCCCTCCGAGACATCTCTCCCAAAGCAATCGCTGTGGGTCCTCTTTTCACCATGGCCCCCGGCTGCAACAAGGCAAGCTTGTGGAAGGAAGACACCGAGAGTTTATCCTGGCTCGGCAAGCAAAGTCCCGGCTCGGTTCTCTACATTTCCTTGGGCACCATCGCGACTCTCAGCTTCGATCAGTTCAAGGAGTTCTCCGAGGGACTGAGGCTTCTCCAGCGTCCGTTTATCTGGGCCATCCGACCCAAGTCGGTCGCCGGCATGGAGCCCGAGTTCCTGGAGCGTTTCAAGGAGGCCGTGAGGAGCTTTGGACTGGTTGTGAGCCGGGCTCCTCAGGTGGACATCCTCCGCCACCCTTCCACGGCTGGATTTCTCAGTCACTGCGGCTGGAACTCCATCCTCGAGAGCGTAGCATCCGCGGTGCCCATGCTTTGCTGGCCGTGCGTCGCGGAGCAGAATCTAAACTGCAAGTTGATAGTGGAGGACTGGAAGATCGGTCTCAAGTTCTCGTGCGTGACCATGCCGGATCCTCCCGAGGTGATGGCGAGGGACGAGTTTGTGGAGGTGGTGGAGCGATTCATGGGAACTGACAGTGAGCATTTGAGGATTAACGTGAAGAAGCTGAGCGAGGAGGCTCGTAGAGCAGTGTCTAGTGGTGGCTCCTCATATGAAAACCTGGAGAGATTTGCTCAAGCAGTGAAAATTTCCTAAACTTCAATCCAAAGCTAAGAGAAAACTTCAAAGCATCTACTCTATTCAAGAATATACTACAGTTCTTTCTCTCTTTCTCTGAAGATAAGCACGCGCTTTGCGCGTATAATGGGTTCCAAGGTCAATGTTGTCGCAATTCCTCTCCCAGCTCAAGGCCACATCTCTCCACTCTTGCATCTCTGCCAAGCTCTCACTTTCATCCTTTGGGGGATGCTATCTCCAAAACACACAACCATGAGGGAATGTGCTGGACTTTGTCACGTGCAAGAACCCATGGCCAATGTGCTAGTGTAGACTCCAAGGTGATGCCTTATGTCAGAAACTGATGCAAAAAGAAGAAACTAAAGAAAAACAAAAAAAATAATAATAAGAAGAAAGAGAGTGTAAAGTTCTGGAGTCAAAAGGGAACCATATGAGGAAATTTGATAAAAGAACTAAACACTAAAAAATGGAAAAACAAAAAGTGAAAAAAACTAAAGAGCAAGGAACAGCTTAAAGAAGAGCTCTAGAGGCCAGTTATAATGGCCATTTGTCTCAAGTTGGTCCCTGGCATAGAGCCTGAGTTCCTGGAGGCTTTCAAGGCTCTCCTTGAAAGTGATCAGCTTTGGACTGGTTGTGAGCTGGGCTCCTCAACCGGAAATCCTCCAGCATCCTTCCACAGGCTGCGAGAGTGTATCTTCAGCAGTGCCAATCCTTTGCTGGTCATGAGTTGCCGAGCAGAATCTCAACTGCAAGCTTATAGTGGAAAACTGGAAGATCGATCTTAAGTTCTCACCCATGAGAGATCCTTGCAAGGTGGTGGCAGGGACGAGTTTGTGGAGGTGGTGGAGCAGCTCATGGGAGCTGAGAATGGCGATTCCTTTAGATGTAATGTGAAGGAGCTCAGCGAGGCTGCTCAGGGAGCAACAGTGAAAGAAGGCAGGATCTTCATATGAAAGTTTGGACAAGTTCGTCAAGTTTCATAAGGTAATTTATATCCAATGCCGCAGCTGGTGGCAGGACGATCATCGGGTATGAGGGCGGGGCCAATGCACAGACAGACCAACCACCAAGAGCACATAAAGATGATACTTGAAAGTGTATAGGTTGGTGGAAGTGTTATTTTCCTTCCCAAAGAAATAGATGGCATAATCAAGAGGACTAAAAAATTCCTGAAGGAGAACACTAGAATAAAACCTTTGCAAAACGCACTGATTCTTAAGCTCAGCCTTGGAGCCAGAAAGAAACGGCAGCACCTTCATGAAGTAAGCTTGAATTTCCTTTGTTCTTCGTCAATGGGTTCTTCTACTGGTGCCGAGGGGCTCGCTCCTCACGCAGCGGTTCTTCCCATTCCAACTCTAGGCCACATCACTCCATTCCTCCATCTCTCTAGAGCTCTGGCCTCGCGAGGCTTCGTCATAACTTTTATCAACACGGAGGGCAACCACAGGGACTTGAAGGACATCGTTTCACAGGAGGAGAGCTTTGGCTCTGGTGGCAGCATTCGTTTCGAGACGGTCCCCGGGGTCCAAACGAGCGAGGCCGACTTCACGGCCCCGGAGACGCGGCCAATGTTCTTCGAGGCATTGATGGCGATGCAGGGTCCAGTGGAGAGCTTGCTCGTCAGGAGCATGGCAAGAGACGATGATCTCGTTCCTCCGGTCTCATGCTTCATCTCGGATATGTTGTTCCCGTGGTCCACGGAAGTACCCAGAAGGATCGGAATCCCAGAGGTCAAGTTCTGGGTCGCCAGTGCTTCTTGCGTTTTGCTCTACTCCTCGTATCCCCAAATGCTGGAGAAGGGAGACATTCCAGTCCAAGGTAAAGCTGCTTTCTTCTTTTTTATTTTTCCTTCTTTCGAGAAGCACTGACGTCCATATACGTGTTCCACCAGATCGTTCCATTGAGAAGCGCATAACTTACGTAGACGGCTTGTCACCACTACCAATGTGGAGCCTCCCGGGCGACTTTTCTGCCAGTGACGACGACCCGGGATTCGCTCGCGGATACGCCAGAGCCAAGAGCTTCGCCACAACGTCGTGGGTTTTGGTCAACTCGTTCGAAGAACTCGAGGGCAGTGCCACCTTCCAAGCTCTCCGAGACATCTCTCCCAAAGCAATCGCAGTGGGTCCACTTTCCACCATGGTCCCCGGCTCCAGCAATGCAAGCTTGTGGACGGAAGACACCGAGAGTTTATCCTGGCTCGGCAAGCAAAGTCCCGGCTCGGTTCTCTACATTTCCTTGGGCACCATCGCGACTCTCAGCTTCGATCAGTTCAAGGAGTTCTCCGAGGGACTGAGGCTTCTCCAGCGTCCGTTTATCTGGGCCATCCGACCCAAGTCGGTCGCCGGTATGGAGCCCGAGTTCCTGGAGCGTTTCAAGGAGACCGTGAGGAGCTTTGGACTGGTTGTGAGCTGGGCTCCTCAGGTGGACATCCTCCGCCACCCTTCCACGGCTGGATTTCTCAGTCACTGCGGCTGGAACTCCATCCTCGAGAGCGTAGCATCCGCGGTGCCCATGCTTTGCTGGCCGTGCGTCGCGGAGCAGAATCTAAACTGCAAGCTAATAGTGGAGGACTGGAAGATCGGTCTCAAGTTCTCGCGCGTGGCCATGCCGGATCCTCACGAGGTGGGGGTAGCGAGGGACGAGTTTGTGGAGGTGGTGGTAGCGAGGGACGAGTTTGTGGAGGTGGTGGAGCGATTCATGGGTGCTGACAGTGAGCATTTGAGGATTAACATCAAGAAGCTGAGCGAGGAGGCTCGTAGAGCAGTGTCTAGAGGTGGCTCCTCGTATGAAAACCTGGAGAGATTTGCTCAAGCAGTGAAAACTTCCTAAACTTTGATCCAAAGTCAACTCTATTCAAGAATATACTACCCTCGATATACTTCTTTCTCTCTCTCTCTCAAGATTGGATTGGAAAGACGAGATAAGCACGCGCGTTGCGCGTATAATGGGTTCCAAGATCACACCTCATGTTGTCGCCGTTCCTCTCCCAGCTCAAGGCCACATCTCTCCACTCTTGCATCTCTGCCAAGCTCTCGCTTCTCATGGATCCATCCTCATCACTTTCGTCAACACGGAGGCCAATCAAGACAGCATCAAGGAAATGCTGGGAGATGGCGTCGAGGGCATTCGCTTCGAGACCTTCCCCGGGCTGGAGGCGGCTTACCACGGCCTCGACTTGACCCAGCTCGAGAATCGCCAGATCTTCTACCGGGCTATGGTCGACATGGAAGCGCCAGTGGAGAGGCTGCTACGAGAGAAGATCATCGCCAAGGGCCCCCCTGTTTCGTGCATCGTCTCCGAGTTGTTCCCCTGGATGAGAGATCTGGCGGCCAGAATCGGAGTTCCAAGCGTTTACTTCTGGCCTACGAGTGCTGCTTGTGTTCTTCTGGATTTTTCCATTCCCTTGCTCTTGGAGAGAGGAGACATACCCGTCGAAGGTATGATTATCAACCATGGTTCCTTACTTATTTTCTTTTCCATGGTTTCTTCCAGATTTCTCTATGGACAAATCCATCGAGTACGTGCGTGGCTTGTCACCATTGCCTGTGTGGAGTCTTCCCCGGGTTTTTGCTTTCAGGGATGATCCAAGTTTCACTCGCAGGTACGAGAGGCTAAAAAACATCCCCCAGAATTCTTGGTTCCTGGCCAACACTTTCGAGGAGCTCGAAGGTGGCGCGCTTGAGGCCGTGAGAGATTACATCCCAAGGATAATACCCATAGGTCCCGCGTTTCTATCTTCACCATCCATGAAAAATGCAAGCCTCTGGAAGGAAGACAACGAGTGCTTAGCATGGCTCAACGAGCAAGAAGAAGGATCCGTGCTCTACATAGCTTTTGGTAGCATCGCCACCCTGAGCTTGGAACAAGCTAAAGAGATAGCAGCAGGGCTGGAAGAACTCCAGAGGCCATTTCTATGGGGGATTCGTCCAAAGTCTGTGCCGGGTATGGAGCCCGAGTTTCTGGAACCGTTCAAAGAGAGAGTAAGAAGTTTTGGGCGAGTTATAACTTGGGCTCCCCAGCGAGAAGTTCTCCAGCATGCTTCTATTGGGGGATTTTTCACTCACTGTGGATGGAATTCTGTGCTGGAAAGCATGGCTGCTGGTGTGCCTATGATCTGCCACCCTTGCGTTGCGGAACAAAATCTGAATTGCAAGTTGGTGGTGGAAGATTGGAAGATTGGATTGCGATATTCCAATGTGGGATCTGGGAAGCTTGTGGTGAGGGATGAATTTCAAAAGGTGGTGAAGAAATTGATGGAAGATGACAATGGTATTGCGCAATACATGAGGAGTAATGCAAAGAAGCTGAGTGAAGAAGCTAGAAAAGCAGTGTGTGTGGGGGGCTCTTCATACCAAAATCTGGAAAATTTTATCTTGTCACTAAAATAATAATTTTATTCCAATAGTTTGCTTAATTTATGTATGTAAGAAAGTCTTCATTACTTCGGCAAATCTCTCCAGGTTTTCATACGAGGAGCCACCTCTAGACACAGCTCTATGAGCCTCCTCGCTCAGCTTCTTCACGTTAATCCTCAAATGCTCACTGTCAGCTCCCATGAATCGCTCCACCACCTCCACAAACTCGTCCCTCGCCACCACCACGTCGCGAGGATCCGACCTCGTCATGTTCGAGAACTTGAGACCGATCTTCCAGTCCTCCACCACTAGCTTGCAGTTTAGATTCTGCTCCGCGACGCACGGCCAGCAAAGCATGGGCACCGCGGATGCTACGCTCTCGAGGATGGAGTTCCAGCCGCAGTGACTGAGAAATCCAGCCGTGGAAGGGTGGCGGAGGATGTCCACCTGAGGAGCCCAGCTCACAACCAGTCCAAAGCTCCTCACGGTCTCCTTGAAACACTCCAGGAACTCGGGCTCCATGCCGGTGACCGACTTGGGTCGGATGGCCCAGATAAACGGACGCTGGAGAAGCCTCAGTCCCTCGGAGAACTCCTTGAACTGATCGAAGCTGAGAGTCGCGATGGTGCCCAAGGAAATGTAGAGAACCGAGCCGGGACTTTGCTTGCCGAGCCAGGATAAACTCTCGCTGTCTTCCTCCCACAGGGCACTGTTGCGTGGTTCGGAGCCGGGGATCATGGTGAAAACAGGACCCACTGCGATTGTTCTGGGAGAGATGTCTCGGAAAGCTTGGAATGCGGCACTGCCCTCGAGTTCTTCGAACGAGTTTATCAAAACCCACGAGGTTGTGGCGAAGATCTTGGCTCTAGCGCACTTGCCAGCGAATCCCGGGTCGTCGTCATTGGCAGAAAAGTCGCCCGGGAGGCTCCACATTGGTAGTGGTGACAAGCCGTCTACGTAAGTTATGCACTTCTCAATGGAACGATCTGGCGGAAGACGTTAGAGCTTCTCGAAAGAAGGAAAGGGAAAAAAAGAAAGATACCTTGGACTGGAATGTCTCCCTTCTCCAACATTTGCGGAACCGCGCACTCGAGCAAAACGCAAGAGGCACTGGCAGTCCAGAACTTGACCTCTGGGATTCCAATCCTTCTTGTTACTTCCGCGGACCACGGGAAGAACATATCCGAGATGAAGCACGAGACCGGAGGAACGAGATCATCGTCTCTGGCCATGTTCCTGATGAGCAAGCTCTCCACTGGAGCCTGCATCTCCATCACTGCCTCGGAGAACATCCGCCGCTTCTCCGGGACCGCCAAGTCGACGTCGCTTGCTTGGATGCCCGGGACCGTCTCGAAGCGAATGCCGCCACCACAGCCATAGCTCTCCTTCGAAACGATGTTCTTCAAGTCCCGCTGGTTGCCCTCCGTGTTGATGAAAGTTATGCCTGTAGGAATAATGATGAACACGACAAGCAGTCCGAATCGTGATCAGATCTCTGGTGATTTCTGATTTGATTGAAGTTGTATATATATACAGCCATAAATGAATCAATGCGTGTTGAAGTGAAATTCCGTTGTTCTTGCTCCGCTTTTCTTTCTTGGTATCGGAGTGCTGGTTTCTGAACTCTTTCTTCTCCTTTCTTTGTGCCTTGCATCATGAGCTGCAGCAAAGTTGGATTGATCTTGCTTCAGGGAGTCACTGCCTTTGATGGGAGGAGAGGGTTCAACACTTGGTCCGAGAAAATGATGCGCGTGCTGCAGATGGAAGAACTCTGGGAAATCGTTTCACCACCAACAATCGCTGCAGATGCTCGTACGCGGCGAGCCCCTGCTGTGTTGGGAGCTTCAACTTCAGTGGAAGGAGAAGTCGTGGATGAAGAGGCAATTCGTGCCTCTGTTGCAGCAGCTCGACAACAGCTTGATCCAGGGGAACAAGCTGCGCTGGAGAAGAAGGAATCTCGAGCAAAAGGATTGATTCTTTCTAAGCTTGCAGATGCCCTTATGATGCGTTTGCGTCATAAGTGTGCTTGTGAGATCTGGGCTCATCTCCACAACAAGTATGCTGTTCTTTCCCTCTCCAAGATTAGCATGGTCGAGACTTGCATTCGTGAGACCCGTTTTCATCCAGGTGAGAACTTTGAAGAGTTCCTCGCCAAGATGCAAGATCTGTGGATGGAGCTTGAAGGCAGTCCAGCAGCGTTCAACGAAAGCAAGAAAGTTCTGGCACTTTGCGAGGCCATGCAAGATTCTTCTTTTAGTTCTTTCGTCCCTACCGTTCGCATGATGTCGCTCAACTTTGAACAAGCTGAGCAAACTTTACGCTCGGAGCTGGCTGCGAGAGGTTTAATTGTGGACTTTGATCAGAGGCCTTCCCATGTTTTGATCTCACAGTCTACATCAAATGCTTCTGCATCAAGCAATCAGTCAGGGACTGATTCAGCTCTGTGGGCTGGAAATCATCGAGGCAGAGGAGGCCGCGGAAGAGGAGGACAAGGCAGAGGTCGCGGGTTTAGGGGAAATCCGCAGCAGCAGCAGAATTCAGGGAATTCTGGTAAAGAAGCAGCAGTTCGGGATTGTTTTGTGGGCAAGAACAAACAGGAATGCTGGACCTGTGGGATGCCAGGGCACTACTCCAAGGATTGCCCAGTTGCAGCTTGGCTGCAGCGCATGAACATAGGGCTCGCAGCAAATGCTCAGGAAGGGGAAACACAGGAACTTGTGGCATCATCTGAGGTAGCAGTTCCAAACGTTTCTGAAAAACTGACCATCGATTCAGGTTCAGAGAGACACCTGATGCAAAGCGAGTCGAACTTTGTGCAGTTGCATGCTGCAAAAGGGAAGTGCATTCGTGTGGGAGATGGAAGCATTTTACCTGTTCGCGCAACTGGGGATGTGCGAGTTCCACTGGGAAGAAAGTCTCTGCTCTTGAAGAATGCGTGGTATGTTCCAAAGATAGTGAAGAATCTGGTTTCTGTAGCCAGGCTTACGGATGAAGGTCTGGATGTGAATTTCTCCAAACATCAATGTCAAGTTCTTGCAAATGGCCGTCCATTACTGCATTTTCCCAGATGTGGTAACCTGTTTGAGAAGGAGATAGCTTCTGGAGAAAAATCGAATGCTCCTGAGATATGCATGACTGCAGATAGTTCTCTCTGGCATTCTCGACTTGCACATGCCAATCCCCCTCTCATCAGGCGTATGCAGAAGCAAGAGCTTGTGGATGGCTTCAACGACCACGTTCTTCAAAGTTCAGCAAAATGTCACACTTGCATTCTTGGCAAGCAAACCCGTCGTACTTTCAAACCTGCTGTGACCAGAAGCACTTGTCCCTTGCAGCTCATTCACTCAGATGTTTGTGGACCCATGCGACTGTTTGCTCAGAATGGCACGAAGTATTTTGTGACATTTACAGATGATTTCTCCAGGCACACGGACGTCTTCTTTCTTCGTCACAAAGATGAAGTCTTTAGCAAATTCAAGCAATTCGTAGTAGAAGCCGAAGTGAAAACTGGTCAGAGGGTTGGTTGTTTACGTACTGATTCAGGAGGGGAATACGTCAACAAGTCCTTTCAGCAGTTCTGTGCTGAACGAGGAATTCTTCATCAGCGCTCTTGCTCTCATACCCCTCAACAGAATGGAGTCTCTGAGCGCAAGAATAGGACAATCATGAACGCAGTTCGGTGCTTCCTTCAAGAATCAGGACTACCAAAATTCCTCTGGGCTGAAGCAGTTGGATCAGCTGTGCATGTTCAAAACCTTCTCCCTCATTCTCGCAATCCCAACAAGATCCCAGAAGAGCTTTGGACTGGTCAAAGACAATCGGTGGTGCATCTTAGGCGTTTTGGTTGTTTAAGCTTTGCAAAAAGGGTGGATGAGCATCTTGGCAAGTTGGAGAGCAGAAGCAAGCTGGCCTTTCTTGTTGGATACGATTCCAATTCAAAAGGATATCGCCTGTACCAGCCTGGTAATCATCAAATCTTTGTAAGCACTGATGTTCGTTTTGATGAAGGAACACTCTACAAAGATCATGTTCAAGAAGAAGGAAGCTCAGATCAGAACATGAACTGGACTCCGGAAGAATGGAGTTGGGATGGTGTTGAAGACGGTGATGAAGATGACGATGATCTGACAATCATCTATCCCTCATCTCCTTTAGCAGATGATCATCCAACACCAATCTCTGGATCTTTTCTTCCTGAAGAACAGGGCGATACTACTCATCGTGCACGAACTGGAGAAGTCGACAGGCTCACACGAGATCTACCATTCAATGTGGAGAACTATGGGCGGACATCATCTAGACGATCAAGCAGAGCACCTCATCCCAAGCAATGGTCTTTTGCAGCAACAGAAATAGCTTCTGAACCAGTCAACTTTGAGCAGGTGATTCAAGCTCCTGATGCAGATAAGTGGATTTCAGCAATGCAAGATGAGTTGAATTCTCTTGATGAGAACCAGACTTATGACTTGGTGGAAGCTCCTGAAGGACGTGAAGTTGTTGGATCACGCTGGGTGTTCAAGCTTCACAGAAATCCTGATGGATCAGTACAGCGTTACAAAGCAAGACTTGTTGCTCAAGGATATTCACAAGTTCCTGGAGTGGATTTTGATGAGACGTTCTCACCAATTGTGAAGCAGACAAGTATCAGAATGCTTCTGGCTTTTACAGCGGAGTTTGGTTTGTGCGCACATCACATGGACGTAAAAACAGCCTTCCTTAATGGGAACTTGAAGGAGGAGATATTTATGCGGCAACCCCCAGGCTTTGAGCTTTTTGGATCACGGTGCTCCGAACTCGTCTGCAAGCTTCGCAAGGCTCTTTATGGCCTTAAGCAAGCTTCCCGTCAGTGGTATGAATGTTTGGATTCTTTTCTTATGGATCTCGGTATGCAGAGGTTGAACAGCGATGGAAATCTATATCTTCTTAGCAACAATCACACTGTTTTGAAGGATGTGAAGATCAAGCTTATGAACAGGTTTGTGATGAAGGACTTAGGAGCTGTGCGGCAGCTGTTAGGGATGGAAGTTGACAGGGATGAAGCAGACAGGACAATCACCCTCACACAGTGCCAATATGTGAAGAAGCTTCTCAACCAGTTCAACATGACAAGTTGCAAATCCGTGGCTACACCAGTCGTCACTGGCATCAAGTTCACAAGCAAGATGGATGATTTATTTGATCAGCCCTCGGTCTATCGATCGCTTGTTGGAGGACTACTCTACCTCGCCAACATGACTCGCCCTGACATCTCCTTTGCCGTTGGTCTCCTCAGCCGATACATGCAGTCTCCGAGTTGTTATCATTGGCAGATGGCGAAGAGAGTTTTGAGATATTTGAAAGGAACAGCTGCTCATGGATTGGTTTACAAATGCTCAGGTCAATCCAAACTTGTTCTTCAAGCTTACTGCGATGCAGATTGGGCTGGCAACTTGGATACACGACATTCAACCTCCGGAATTTGCTGCATAATTGCTGGTGCTCCGGTTTCATGGGGAAGCAAGAAGCAAACGACGGTTGCTCTTTCCAGTGTAGAAGCAGAATACGTAGCTGCCAGTACAGCAGCAAGGGAGATCATCTGGCTTCGTCGATTACTTGGAGAACTCAATCAACAGCAATCAGATGCGACCATTCTGCATTGCGACAGCAGAAGTGCAATCGCCATGTCAAAGAATCCTGTGTTTCATGCTCGTACGAAACATATAGACGTGCAGCATCACTTCATTCGCGAACATGTAGCAGCCAGAGATCTTCACCTGGAATACGTTCCTTCACAGTATCAGTTGGCGGACCTTCTAACCAAGCCACTTTCGGAGCTCACATTCATCAAGCTGAGGAATCAACTTGGAGTGTCAAGCACACCCTCAGCTTGAAGGGGGAGTGTAGGAATAATGATGAACACGACAAGCAGTCCGAATCGTGATCAGATCTCTGGTGATTTCTGATTTGATTGAAGTTGTATATATATACAGCCATAAATGAATCAATGCGTGTTGAAGTGAAATTCCGTTGTTCTTGCTCCGCTTTTCTTTCTATGCCGAAGCCTCGCGAGGCCAGAGCTCTTGAGAGGTGGAGGAGTGGGGAGATGTGGCCTTGGGTTGGAATGGGAAGAACCGCTGCGTGAGGAGCGAGCCTCCTGGCACCAGTCGAAGAGCCCATTGACGGAGAAAAGGAAAAGCTAAACAGTTCTCAAGCTTTTACTTCTTGTGTGCTCTCACGACGAAGGCAAAACAGGCTGGATCCAGTGCTCCACATTGTGCTATCGTCAACTTATAAGCTACCACCCAAAATGTTCAAAGATTGAAAGTTCTTCACCTTTGCTACTCTTCCATTGCTTGGTGCCTTGAGGACGAGGATGGAAATTCTGGCCTGGCAAAGTAAAGCCTGGAATCCATTTGCTTAGTGCTTGTGTGTACACGATCAAAGAGAGAACTGAATTGCTGCTGTCTTGTTTCCATCATCATACCAAGAGAAAAAGTGCTAAACAGCGAAACAGCTGGCCAAGGAAAAACGACAGACAACCGAATCGAACTACAGACCATCTTTATATTATATAATATAATGTTTATTTAAATTTTCTAAGTAAAAAATAATAACTGATCTTTTTGAACAACTTATCAAAGAAACATTATTTTAATAAAGAATGAAATTTATTTTGAAATCTCATGAGCAACATAAATGAAAAAATAGGTATTATGAATAGTTATCCTGCATGATAAAATATTCAGACAAAAATAATTGTATAAATAATAAAATTAAAAAAGAATATATTCATAGACAAAGAACCTAGGTTGGAATTTTTCTGGACCGCCAGTGCCTCTTGCGTTTTGCTCGATTGCTCGTTTCCGCGAATGCTGGAGAAGGGAGACGTTCCAGTCCAAGGTAAAGCTTCTTTCTTCTTTTTTATTTGTCCTTCTTTCGAGAAGCACTAACGTGTTCCGCCAGATCGTTCCATTGAAAAGTACATCACTTACGTAGACGGCTTGTCACCACTGCCAATCTGGGGCCTCCCGCGCGACCTTTCTGCCATTGACGAATCAAGATTCGCTCGCAGATACGCTAGAGCCAAGAGCTTCGCCACAACATCGTGGGTTTTGGTCAACTCGTTCGAAGAACTCGAGGGCAGTGCCACCTTCCAAGCCCTCCGAGACATCTCTCCCAAAACAATCGCAGTGGGTCCTCTTTTCACCATGGCCCCCGGCTGCAACAAGGCAAGCTTGTGGAAGGAAGACACCGAGAGTTTATCCTGGCTCGGCAAGCAAAGTCCCGGCTCGGTTCTCTACATTTCCTTGGGCAGCATCGCCACTCTCAGCTTCGATCAGTTCAAGGAGTTCTCCGAGGGACTGAGGCTTCTCCAGCGTCCGTTTATCTGGGCCATCCGACCCAAGTCGGTCGCCGGCATGGAGCCCGAGTTCCTGGAGCGTTTCAAGGAGGCCGTGAGGAGCTTTGGACTGGTTGTGAGCTGGGCTCCTCAGGTAGACATCCTCCGCCACCCTTCCACCGCTGGATTTCTCAGTCACTGCGGCTGGAACTCCATCCTCGAGAGCGTAGCATCCGCGGTGTCCATGCTTTGCTGGCCGTGCGTCGCGGAGCAGAATCTAAACTGCAAGTTGATAGTGGAGGACTGGAAGATCGGTCTCAAGTTCTCGTGCGTGACCATGCCGGATCCTCCCGAGGTGATGGCGAGGGACGAGTTTGTGGAGGTGGTGGAGCGATTCATGGGAACTGACAGTGAGCATTTGAGGATTAACGTGAAGAAGCTGAGCGAGGAGGCTCGTAGAGCAGTGTCTAGAGGTGGCTCCTCGTATGAAAACCTGCAGAGATTTGCTCAAGCAGTGAAAATTTCCTAAACTTCAATCCAAAACTAAGAGAAAACTTCAAAGCATCTACTCTATTCAAGAATATACTACTCTTTCTCTCTCTCTGAAGATAAGCACGCGCTTTGCGCGTATAATGGGTTCCAAGGTCAATGTTGTCGCAATTCCTCTCCCAGCTCAAGGCCACATCTCTCCACTCTTGCATCTCTGCCAAGCTCTCACTTTCATCCTTTGGGGGATGCTATCTCCAAAACACACAACCATGAGGGAATGTGCTGGACTTTGTCACGTGCAAGAACCCATGGCCAATGTGCTAGTGTAGACTCCAAGGTGATGCCTTATGTCAGAAACTGATGCAAAGAGAAGAAACTAAAGAAAAACAAAAAAAGAAGAAGAAGAAGAAAGAGAGTGTAAAGTTCTGGAGTCAAAAGGGAACCATATGAGGAAATTTGATAAAAGAACTAAACACTAAAAAATGGAAAAACAAAAAGTGAAAAAAACTAAACAGCAAGGAACAGCTTAAAGAAGAGCTCTAGAGGCCAGTTATAATGGCCATTTGTCTCAAGTTGGTCCCCGGCATAGAGCCCGAGTTCCTGGAGGCTTTCAAGGCTCTCCTTGCAAGTGATCAGCTCTGGACTGGTTGTGAGCTGGGCTCCTCAACTGGAAATCCTCCAGCATCCTTCCACAGGCTGCGAGAGTGTATCTTCAGCAGTGTCAATCCTTTGCTGGCCATGAGTTGCCGAGCAGAATCTCAACTGCAAGCTTATAGTGGAAGACTGGAAGATCGATCTTAAGTTCTCGCCCATGAGAGATCCTCGCAAGGTGGTGGCAGGGACGAGTTTGTGGAGGTGGTGGAGCAGCTCATTGGAGCTGAGAATGGCGATTCCTTTAGATGTAATGTGAAGGAGCTCAGCGAGGCTGCTCAGGGAGCAACAGTGAAAGAAGGCAGGATCTTCATATGAAAGTTTGGACAAGTTCGTCAAGTTTCATAAGGTAATTTATATCCAATGCCGCAGCTGGTGGCAGGACGATCATCGGGCATGAGGGCGGGGCCAATGCACAGACAGACCAACCACCAAGAGCACATAAAGATGATACTTGAAAGTGTATAGGTTGGTGGAAGTGTTATTTTCCTTCCCAAAGAAATAGATGGCGTAATCAAGAGGAGTAAAAAATTCCTGAAGGAGAACACTAGATTAAAACCTTTGCAAAACGCACTGATTCTTAAGCTCAGCCTTGGAGCCAGAAAGAAACGGCAGCACCTTCATGAAGTAAGCTTGAATTTTCTTTGTTCTTCGTCAATGGGTTCTTCTACTGGTGCCGAGGGGCTCGCTCCTCACGCAGCGGTTCTTCCCATTCCAACTCTAGGCCACATCACTCCATTCCTCCATCTCTCCAGAGGTGGCTCCTCGTATGAAAACCTGGAGAGATTTGCTCAAGCAGTGAAAACTTCCTAAACTTTGATCCAAAGTCAACTCTATTCAAGAATATACTACCCTCGATATACTTCTTTCTCTCTCTCTCTCAAGATTGGATTGGAAAGACGAGATAAGCACGCGCGTTGCGCGTATAATGGGTTCCAAGATCACACCTCATGTTGTCGCCGTTCCTCTCCCAGCTCAAGGCCACATCTCTCCACTCTTGCATCTCTGCCAAGCTCTCGCTTCTCATGGATCCATCCTCATCACTTTCGTCAACACGGAGGCCAATCAAGACAGCATCAAGGAAATGCTGGGAGATGGCGTCGAGGGCATTCGCTTCGAGACCTTCCCCGGGCTGGAGGCGGCTTACCACGGCCTCGACTTGACCCAGCTCGAGAATCGCCAGATCTTCTACCGGGCTATTCTCGACATGGAAGCGCCAGTGGAGAGGCTGCTACGAGAGAAGATCATCGCCAAGGGCCCCCCTGTTTCGTGCATCGTCTCCGAGTTGTTCCCCTGGATGAGAGATCTGGCGGCCAGAATCGGAGTTCCAAGCGTTTACTTCTGGCCTACGAGTGCTGCTTGTGTTCTTCTGGATTTTTCCATTCCCTTGCTCTTGGAGAGAGGAGACATACCCGTCGAAGGTATGATTATCAACCATGGTTCCTTACTTATTTTCTTTTCCATGGTTTCTTCCAGATTTCTCTATGGACAAATCCATCGAGTACGTGCGTGGCTTGTCACCATTGCCTGTGTGGAGTCTTCCCCGGGTTTTTGCTTTCAGGGATGATCCAAGTTTCGCTCGCAGGTACGAGAGGCTAAAAAACATCCCCCAGAATTCTTGGTTCCTGGCCAACACTTTCGAGGAGCTCGAAGGTGGCGCGCTTGAGGCCGTGAGAGATTACATCCCAAGGATAATACCTATAGGTCCCGCGTTTCTATCTTCACCATCCATGAAAAATGCAAGCCTCTGGAAGGAAGACAACGAGTGCTTAGCATGGCTCAACGAGCAAGAAGAAGGATCCGTGCTCTACATAGCTTTTGGTAGCATCGCCACCCTGAGCTTGGAACAAGCTAAAGAGATAGCAGCAGGGCTGGAAGAACTCCAGAGGCCATTTCTATGGGGGATTCGTCCAAAGTCTGTGCCGGGTATGGAGCCCGAGTTTCTGGAACCGTTCAAAGAGAGAGTAAGAAGTTTTGGGCGAGTTATAACTTGGGCTCCCCAGCGAGAAGTTCTCCAGCATGCTTCTATTGGGGGATTTTTCACTCACTGTGGATGGAATTCTGTGCTGGAAAGCATGGCTGCTGGTGTGCCTATGATCTGCCACCCTTGCGTTGCGGAACAAAATCTGAATTGCAAGTTGGTGGTGGAAGATTGGAAGATTGGATTGCGATATTCCAATGTGGGATCTGGGAAGCTTGTGGTGAGGGATGAATTTCAAAAGGTGGTGAAGAAATTGATGGAAGATGACAATGGTATTGCGCAATACATGAGGAGTAATGCAAAGAAGCTGAGTGAAGAAGCTAGAAAAGCAGTGTGTGTGGGGGGCTCTTCATACCAAAATCTGGAAAATTTTATCTTGTCACTAAAATAATAATTTTATTCCAATATATTTGAGAATAGTTTACTTAATTTATGGTATGTAAGAAAATCTTCATTACTTCGGCAAATCCCTCCAGGTTTTCATACGAGGAACCACCTCTAGACACTGCTCTACGAGCCTCCTCGCTCAGCTTCTTGACGTTAATCCTCAAAGGCTCACTGTCAGCTCCCATGAATCGCTCCACCACCTCCACAAACTCGTCCCTCGCTACCACCACCTCGTGAGGATCCGGCATGGTCACGCACGAGAATTTGAGACCGATCTTCCAGTCCTCCACTATCAGCTTGCAGTTTAGATTCTGCTCCGCAACGCACGGCCAGCAAAGCATGGGCACCGCGGATGCTACGCTCTCGAGGATGGAGTTCCAGCCGCAGTGACTGAGAAATCCAGCTGTGGAAGGGTGGCGGAGGATGTCCACCTGAGGAGCCCAGCTCACAACCAGTCCAAAGCTCCTCACGGCCTCCTTGAAACACTCCAGGAACTCGGGCTCCATGCCGTTGACCGACTTGGGTCGGATGGCCCAGATAAACGGACGCTGGAGAAGCCTCAGTCCCTCGGAGAACTCCTTGAACTGATCGAAGCTGAGAGTGGCGATGCTGCCCAAGGAAATGTAGAGAACCGAGCTGGGACTTTGCTTGCCGAGCCAGGATAAACTCTCGCTGTCTTCCTCCCACAGGGCACTGTTGCGTGGTTCGGACCCGGGGATCATGGTGAAAAGAGGACCCACTGCGATTGTTTTGGGAGAGATGTCTCGGAAAGCTTGGAATGCGACACTGCCCTCGAGTTCTTCGAACGAGTTTATCAAAACCCACGACGTTGTGGCGAAGATCTTGGCTCTAGCGCACTTGCCAGCGAATCCCGGGTCGTCGTCACTGGCAGAAAAGTCGCCCGGGAGGCTCCACATTGGTAGTGGTGACAAGCCGTCTACGTAAGTTATGCACTTCTCAATGGAACGATCTGGCGGAAGACGTTAGAGCTTCTCGAAAGAAGGAAAGGGAAAAAAAGAAAGATACCTTGGACTGGAATGTCTCCCTTCTCCAACATTTGCGGAACCGCGCACTCGAGCAAAACGCAAGAGGCACTGGCAGTCCAGAACTTGACCTCTGGGATTCCAATCCTTCTTGTTACTTCCGTGGACCACGGGAAGAACATATCCGAGATGAAGCACGAGACCGGAGGAACGAGATCATCGTCTCTGGCCATGTTCCTGATGAGCAAGCTCTCCACTGGAGCCTGCATCTCCATCACTGCCTCGGAGAACATCCGCCGCTTCTCCGGGACCGCCAAGTCGACGTCGCTTGCTTGGATGCCCGGGACCGTCTCGAAGCGAATGCCGCCACCACAGCCATAGCTCTCCTTCGAAACGATGTTCTTCAAGTCCCGCTGGTTGGCCTCCGTGTTGATGAAAGTTATGCCGAAGCCTCGCGAGGCCAGAGCTCTTGAGTGGAGGAGTGGGGAGATGTGGCCTTGGGTTGGAATGGGAAGAACCGCTGCGTGAGGAGCGAGCCTCCTGGCACCAGTCGAAGAGCCCATTGACGGAGAAAAGGAAAAGCTAAACAGTTCTCAAGCTTTTAGTTCTTGTGTGCTCTCACGACGAAGGGAAAACAGGCTGGATCCAGTGCTCCACATTGTGCTATCGTCAACTTATAAGCTACCACCCAAAATGTGAGAAGATTGAAAGTTCTTCACCTTTGCTACTCTTCCATTGCTTGGTGCCTTGAGGACGAGGATGGAAAATCTGGCCTGGCAAAGTAAAGCCTGGAATCCATTTGCTTAGTGCTTGTGTGTACACGATCAAAGAGAGAACTGAATTGCTGCTGTCTTGTTTCCATCATCATACCAAGAAAAAAAGTGCTAAACAGCGAAACAGCTGGCCAAGGAAAAACGACAGACAACCGAATCGAACTACAGACCATCTTTATATTATATAATATAATGTTTATTTAAATTTTTTAAGTAAAAAATAATAACTGATCTTTTTGAACAACTTATCAAAGAAATATTATTTTAATAAAGAATGAAAATTATTTTGAAATCTCATGAGCAACATAAATGAAAAAATAGGTATTATGAATAGTTACCCTGCATGATAAAATATCCAGACAAAAATAATTGTATAAATAATAAAATTAAAAAAGAATATATTTTACATTGTCATAGACAAAGAACCTAGGTTGGAATTTTGTATCCAAATCCCATGGCAACCATGGCAGCAGCATCTCTTTTGCACATAGTAGCGGTTCCGTTGCCACTCCAAGGCCACATCAATCCCCTCCTCCACCTCTTGGCTCGTCTGTGCGGCCCAGATCTCATCACCACGCTCCTAGTTCCACAGCAAGACGTCCATCGCATGCAGCGCTCCCCCAATCCACACGTCCGCGTCCTTCCACTCCCTCCCAGCGTCTTGGAGATCAGCCACATCGCTGGCCTGCCGAGCACGAGCCAACTCTCTGCCGTTCTAGACGCTCTCGAGGAGGCCGAGGACAATCTCGCTGCCTTCATCTCGGGACTCGGTGGCGATGGAGTTTGGAGCTCTCCAATCTGCTGCATCCTACTGGATTCCTTTGTCGAGATGGGCCAAGATCTTGCGGACAGGCTCAAGCTCCCCAGAATTGCTATGTGGACCGCCTCGGCAGCGACTTTTCTCATCAATTGCAATCTCCCTCAACTGATCTCCCGAGGCATGCTACCTTTCACAGGTCTGTGCTTGATTGAGAGGAGAAATTCTGCCGCTTGACAATGTCGCTGTTGCTGTGTGAGCCAGAGACGAGTGATCCGGACTCTGTCATCGACTTCATCCCTGGGATCGACAGTCTTTCCATCAAAGATATCCCATCCTCCCTGCTTACTTCCACCCCCGAGGGGCTCGAGCGAAGATCTCGCATTTTCTCCCGGAACAAGGAGGCAGCTTGCATCTTCCTGAATACCGTCGAGGAGCTGGAGCGCAAGGTCGTTGCTGCCATCCAGGAGCTTCTTCGTCCCGCAAAGTTCTTGACCATCGGGCCCCTGCTACCCAGCTCGTTCTTGTCTGACCATCCAGCTGATGAGAACACTGTGTCGGCCGAAGGAGTTTGGAAGGAAGATATGCACTGCTTGAGCTGGCTCGACGAGAGAGAGCCGAGGTCGGTCCTATACGTGTCTTTCGGAAGCATGGCGACGTTGAAAGCGAACCAGATACAGGAGTTGGCTCTAGGCCTCGAATCGAGCGGGCAGCCATTCCTGTGGGTGATGAGGCCGAACCTTGTGAGCGAGTCTGAAGCTCCTAACTTCTGCGAGGACTTCGTCGTGAGGACTAAGTCGCAGGGACTGGTGATTTCCTGGGCACCGCAGCTTCAAGTTCTCAAGCATCCGTCCGTTGGAGGCTTTCTGACGCACTGCGGGTGGAATTCCACCTTAGAAGCCGTGTGCAGTGGAGTTCCTTTGCTATGCTGGCCTTGCTTCGCCGAGCAACATCTCAACTGTAAGATCATCGTCGACGACTGGAAGGTCGGGCTGAGCTTTTTCCGAGGCTCCTGTCACGGTGTGGCGAGCAAGGAGGTGGTTCATCAAGTGATCAGGCGGCTCATGGTGGAAGATCCTGGAAAAGAAATCAGGAAAAGAGCCATAGAACTTAGAAATGAGATTAGAAGTACCGTGACAGAAGGTGGGTCATCCGATAGGAACTTGTCCGCCTTTGTTGACTTGATCTCAAAACGATTGGTATAGTTAAGTCGAAGTAACATGGTTGTCAGCCCCCCATACCGCCATGCCAGTAGACAGGCTAGAAAAAAAAGCTGGATCGCATCTCAGACTTCATAGCCTCTGCGAACTCTTCCAAACTTTTTCGTGAAAGTCCCCCGGCCATCAATGCAGTTCTTGCGGCGTCTCTCAAGGAGCGAATCCTTCGCCTGATCTGCCGACCTTGGTCTCCCTCTAACACCGCCCTCACCACCCTTTCAACTTCTGACTTGTCCACCAAACCAGTTGCTGCCTTCGCAAACTCGATTCCTATTCTCCACTCCTTGACGATGTAGCGGCAGTTTAGCATCTGGTCAGCGAAGCACGGCCAGCACAGCATTGGAAGCCCCACGCTGATGCCTTCCAGCGTAGAATTCCATCCGCAGTGCGTCACGAAAGCTCCCAATGAAGGATGTTTGAGCACGCGAGCCGGAGCTGATGGAATCACGAGACTGCGGCCTCTAACTTTCTCCGTGAAAGCGTTTCGAACGTCAGCTGACATAGTCTGGACCAGCTCGTTCCGTATCACCCACAGAAACGGGTAAGAGCAAGCCTTCAATCCTTGAGCGACCTGTTCCAGCTGCCGTCCAGAGAGATGAGCGATGCTGCCAAAAGAGACATACACCACCGAAAGAGCTCCTTGTCTGTCTAGCCAGTCTATACACCTGTCGTCTTCCACAGAATCATCGATGGTGATCTCGATATCTGCCGTTCCGTCACTGATTTCTAAGAACCCAAGCGAGAGAACCGGACCAACTGGGAGGAGCTTGTTCTGGACCCGCCCTTGCATGGCCCGGAGCTCGTTGTGCTCCAGAGCCATGAAAGTATTAGCAAAGATCCAGTCAGCTCGCTTCACACGTTGTATCCTCTCGATTCTATGCCTAAAACCAGGATCATACCGATCCTGCCTGGCGATGGAAGTCGGGAGATCACTGGAAGATATCGTTGGCATACCGTCTATGAACGAAATGTAGCTATGCTCGTTTTCAGCTGCAAAGGAAAACAAACTCAACGAAGAGAAACAGAAGAGAAAAGAGGGAAAAGTACCTTTCAAAGGTGCGAGGCCTCTTTCCATCAAGTCTGGAATGTGCGTAGAGATCAAGCTCGTTGCTGTGGACGATGCCCAGAAAACGGCCCACTGGAGACTAAAGTCCTGAGCAATGTCTTGAGTCCACGAAAGAAATCCATCCGCGATGATACAAACTGGAGGACAGCCCTGGCTCTCCACCAGCTTGCCGATCAATCTCTCGAAAGCGCCGCGGAGCCTGTCTGTGGACATGATCGCCTCAAACACGTTGATAGTCTCGAGAGAAGGCATGTTGGCGTCGGGCAGCCCCACCATATTGATGTGAACTTCGTGCTCCTGCGGCAGCGGGATTCGTCTCGCCCTCCATGCGTGAAGGATCCGGAGATGGTTGTGCTCCGTGTTGACGAAAGTGATGAGAAACCCCAGCGCTTCCAACCGGCAGGAGAGATGCATCATCGGGATGATGTGGCCCAGCGATGGAAACGGGAATACCACCGCATGCGGCCGATCGCCGCCTCCATTCCCGTCCATGTCCCGCAGATCATCGCTGGAAACACGAAATCAGTGGCAGCGCGGCGATCCTACAAGAGCGAAATCTTTCAAGGAAATAGCTGTGGAGGGGAGATTTCGCCCGCGGATCCATCCGGAACACGCGATCGGGAATAGAATCGAGGAGAACTTACATCGGTGTCGGCCGCATTTTGTCTCGATCTTTGCTCCCCTGTGAGCCCTAAACCGAGATCAATATAAGAATCTTACATATTCTCGGAAAGCATATGCTTAAGAATATCTCCTAGCAAAGCATCTTAGAATATCCTCAGAAAGCTTATGCTTAAGAATCCCATATTCTCGAAAGCATATTCTTAAGAATATTAACAAAGCTTCGAGTTGGCCAGGAGCACGTAGAGCGCACCGCTAAGCCCCTCGAGCTCCACATCCACGCTCACATTCCTTCTATGGCTATTACACGCCCCTAGAAATGCCGTCCAAGAGCTTCTATCCGGGAAGAAAGGCATGGTTTGCAAGAGCTCGAGAGCTAGCTCGATCATTCCCGCGCGGCCCAGTGCATCGACGATGCTCTTGTACTGATCCAGCCCTGCCGCGATCGAAAACTCCCCAGCCATCAAGTGGAAGAACACCCGGCTGTGATGGAGTAGACCACTGTGGCTGCAAGCCGAAATGATGCTCACGAATACCACATCGTCGGGCTCCACTCCGGCGGCGCTCATAGCCCGGAAGAGATCCAGCGCTCGCTCGCCCTGTCCGTGATGGGCGTACGCACAGATCATAGAGCTCCACGCGACCAAGTCGAGATCCTGCTCCGGCATGGACGAGAAGACGAGCTCGGCCCCCTCGAGGCATCCACACTCGCTATACATGCGGAGCATCACGCTCGCCAGAGAAAGCCCGTGGGAATCGTTGCAAGCGATTGAATTGCCGAGGAACTCGTGGAGGATTCTTCCCTGCTCGAGTGACCCGGTGGTGGCGCAGGCGGTGAGGAGAGCGGTGAGAGTGCTGGGCTCGGGATGGAATCCCTCGAGCTCCATCGCGGCGCGAAGCAGGAGCTCCACGCCTTCTTTGACGCGATTGCTTTGTACAAGTGCCACGATCATAGAGCTCCAAGTTGCCGAGCTCCACTTGGGCGAAAGATCGAACACTTTCCTCGACTCCTCGATGTTACTACACGCTTCCAAGAGACTGTTCCAGGAGATCATGTCGCGCTCTGGAGCGGTGTCAAAAGATTTCTTTGCGTTATACATATCCCCCACTCTGGCAAATGCCGCGATCATAGTGTTCCACGAAACAATAGTCCACATTGGCATTCTCCAGAACTTCTCCAAGATTGAAAAGATCAGACCTCGTTGCGAGAAAGCATCTAAGATCGTGTTCCACGACACCTCGTTCTTCCATAGCATCCTATCGAAAAAATCTTTCGTCGTGACAGAATACCCTTCTTGGGCATTTGCAGCTAGCATTGCGTTTAGCGCCACGCAATCCCACTGCGGCATTTTTCCAAACGCCTCGAGCGCGGCAGCACCATCGCTGAATCCGGTAACAAGCGCAGTCCATGTCACGGCATTCCTTTCCTTCATGCTCGCAAACACCGCCATTGCCTGCTCCATCAGCCCGGCCGAGACGAGCGCGGCGAGCATCGCCGTGGTCGACACCACATTGTGCTGCGGCATTCGCGAGAAAACCTCGCGGCCCTCTCGGAGCCGATCGCTGTGCAGCAGTGCCGCCGCCAGAATGGCCCAAGAGAAGACATTGGGCTGCTGGATCCGGCGGAACGCATCCATCGCGTCCTCCACGCGCCCGCAGCCGCCATACATCTGTACGACGAGATTCCCCAGAAATCGATCGCTTCCATAGCCGCAGGCGACGATCTGCGAGTGAACCCACTTGGCTGCCGCCGGATCCTTGCCGCAGCGCTGTGCAAGAGAGCAAAGCTGGGGGTAGATGTGCTCACCGCTACACGCTCTTCGCATCCATCAAGCTCAAGAGCCCTAAATGCCCCAGCATATTCACTTAGTTTAAACGAAACCGTCGGATATCTTGGGTTCGATCTTAGCCGTTGAGAATTCCGCGCTCTTGTTCTTGGCGAGGAGATCGGCCGCGAATGCCTTGAGCCCGCTCATCTCTTGGAAATCCTTCCGGCACGCATCGCGCAGATCCGCGGCTCTCTTCCGGATCGAATCGGTCTGCTCGCCACCGCCCATCACCGCGCTTATGGCGCGCAGCACGTCCTCTTTGGAGAAATCTCCGCGATGACCCTTTGCGAGCTTCACGCCCGTCTTCCACACCTCCACGACGTACTTGGCGTTGGCCTTTTGCTCCGCGAAGCAGGGCTGGCAGATCGTCGGCACTCCAGCGCAAATGCTTTCAAACGTGGAATTCCATCCGCAGTGAGTGAGGAAGGCCGCGGTTGATCCATGGCGGAGGACCTGGAGTTGCGGCGCCCAGCGAACGACGAGGCCCAGATCTTTCGCCCTGTCAAGGAATCGTGCGTGATCTTCCTCTCCCATGTCCGAGACGAGATCCGGGCGAAGCACCCACAGGAATCTCTCGCCAAGGTCGAGCAATCCACCGAGCAGGACTTCCAGCTGCGAGAAATTCATCGCCGCTATGCTGCCGAAGGAGATGTAGAGCACGGATCGTGGCGGCTGGCGATCGAGCCAATCGAGGCAGCTGAGATCTTGCTCCCAGAGCGAGCTCGTGAAAAACTCCTGGGGCGATGATCGATGATCCAGGTCGCCTAGTCCGAGGAAGCTGGGTGGGAGCAGTGGTGCGACTGGTACGAACCTATCAAACCCCTGCTCCCTCGCCGCATTGATGAGCGGCTGCTCCAGCGCGGGGCAAGTGTTGAAGAAGACCCAAGCAGCGCTGTTCCTCGCGCCATCGCTCACCCCTCGCAGTAGCTCGTGAGTCGTGTCCTGGGGATTGTGGACGAGCGATGGCAACTCCAGTGGATGCAGCGGGATCACGCCCGGGCACTCGATAAGATCCTCGCATTCTGGCCACAAGGATGCGTATTAGCTGTCAAGAACACGAATCTACTCGCTCTAGGCTCCGAAATCTCGATTACCTGGATCGCGAGATGAGAGGATCTCGGTAGCACTAGCATGGTGCTGAATCAGGAACGCCAAGACCGGCAAGGGGAAGTACATCACCCAGGGCACTCCAAATCGGCGCGCCACTCCCGCCGCCCACAGCAAGAACGCATCCGATACGACGCACGACACCGGCGGCATGCTAGGGTCCTTGGCCAGTGCCTCCATGAGCTCCTCCAGTCCGGGACCGAGCTTCTTGACGCCCTCGAGGAAGTGGAAGATCCCGCCCATGGAGCGCGGCGGGAGCACATCGTCGGGGATGGGGCGCATTTGGATGGAGAGGCCGCGCTCCCACGGCGGCGCCACGCCCTGCCGCTCCCACGCCGCTAGAATGCTCTCGTGGTTGCCCCTCGTCGTGACGAAGGTGACGAAGAACCCCATGGAGCTCGCCAGGCGCAGGGAGAGCTGCATCAGCGGATTGATGTGGCCTTGCCCTGGATAAGCCACAACCACGGCGTGCTGTGGCCTCTCTCCCTCCGCCATGGACGAATCTCAACTTAGGGTTCTTGCGAGGAAAGTTTAAATAACATTGACCGTTTGACTAAGCGTTTTGAGTAAGAGTGTTTGGCTAGCGGAGACTAGGGCTCTTCGCGAAACACTCTGCGAATTCGCGCAAGCTCTCGCACGCCGATCCACCGGGTCCATGCGCCGCCCGGAGCGCGTCTCTCAATCGCAACACATTCTCCTTCATCGATTTGCCCTCTTCCCCATTGAGCTCCTCGATCAGCCTCGCGATCTCCCGGGACTGGATCACTCGCGGGGGATCGTCCGTGTCCTGGCCATGGTTGTTCACGCCCAGCGCGATCTTCCACTCCTCGACCATGCGCTTGGAGTTCATGTTTTGCTCCGACGTGCGCGGCCACGCAAGCATTGGAACGCCGGAGCTGATCGCTTCCATGGTCGAGTTCCAGCCGCAGTGGGTCACGAATCCCACCACCGCTGGGTGCCGCAGGACGTGGAGCTGGGGAGCCCACGACACGAGCCTGGATTCCATGGGCTTGGCTCGATCTAGAAGCTCGTCCAGGGCCTTGTGATCGTTGTCCGGAACATCCACGACAAAGTTCTTCCGGAAGCTCCACAAGAACGCCTGATTGGAAGCTTGCAGCGCGTCGAGAATCTCCTTCACTTGGCGGAAGGAGAGCACTGCGACGCTCCCAAACGCGATGTAGAGGATCGACGCCGGAAGCTGGCGATCCAGCCACTCCATGCAGCCGAGATGCTCGTCGTGATCGCGCAAATCCTCCCTGGGGAGCTGCGCTTCGCGGAGAAGAGCCCGAGGGATCAGTGGCCCAATCGCAAAGTACCTCATCCTCTCGCGCATCGCGGCGATGGCCACTGGTTCTAGCTCCTGGAACGTGTTCGCGAGCACGCAAAACGCCTCTGGACGCCTCGCGCAAGCTTTTCCAATGAAATCCAGGCAGACGTCGTCGTCATAGAAGGCCAGCGGCAAATCCTTTCGAGTCATGCCAGTCAGCCCCGGCAGGAAATCGATGACACTCTCGTCTTCCAAGTTTCCTGGAGAAGAAGTGTTCATCAACTTTTAAAAGCAGCTCATCCTTGATAAACTTACTCTTGACTGGCAGATAGCCTCGAGACTTGAGCTCCAGGATGTTGGAGCAAACGATCTCGCACGCCGCCGACGCCGTCCAGAAGAACACTCTCGCGATCCCGAGCTTGTCGGCAACGTCCTGCGTCCAGCCCACGAATCCATCCGCGATCACCATCGTCGCGGGAGGATCCAGCTCGCGCACGGCCTCTTCCACTGCTCCTGGCATGGAATCCACCATCCGGAACAAATCACCCATGCAGGCGAGGCGAAGGAGATCATCCGGAACCGGAACTGTCACGAACTTCACGCTGGGATGCTTTCGCGCGAGCGGCGTAGCGTCTGTCAGCGGCGAGGCGAGCACTGTGATGGCGAATCCATGCTGCTGCTGCAATCTCTCCGCGAGCTCCAGCATCGGATTTAAATGCCCGGGACCATCCATGGAGAAGATCGCTGCGTGAGGAGCCATAAGAGCTCAAGCTCATCTTGTGGAATATGCCCTCCTCCAAATGGCGTGGAGAAGAGTCGAACCAGGGGCCCGTCCATCCGTACGATGTGCCAGACGACTTTGACGGGCGCTACCTTATGTCGCTACCATTTAACACACCGACGCGTCGATGCCCGTCACGCTTGTCGTGAGCCGCTGTCTTGAGTGCCTCCGCCCGTCACTCGTGACGGCCAGTTTTTATAAAGCCTTTGCCTCGCAAGTAAAGTGTACGTCGTCGGTCGAGAAGAAGCTATGGGCGCGCGCTCTTCTTCCTTGCTTGTTCTACTATTTCTCGCAGCTGCTGGATATGGTACCTACATTCTCTTCCTTCCTTCCACTGTGCTCGCTTTGATCCATGTACTAAACCGATCTCTTGCGCTTGTAAATGTTATAGCTGCTGCTGCTGCTGTTGCTGGAGAAGATCCAGGACAGTTTGGTCGTCGACTTCTCCAATCTTCGCAATGTAAGAGCTTTGATCTTGTTTTTCTCCTCCAGGGGCTTTCCAGCTTCTTTTTCTGCCTGTGATCTCTTGTATTCTTTGTGATGCAGCCTGCTCAACCGACTTTTCCAAGGTGGATTACTCGTCCGTGACCAGAGTCTGCAAGGCACCGTTCCCGACCTCGGCTTGCTGCCCGGCGTTCACGTCCCTGGCCTGCAAATACAAGTCCCAAGTGAACGACTTTAGCACTACTTGCCCGATCAACTTCATCGCTTACCTCAACTTCGCTGGTCCGTATCAGGACGGAGTGTTCGTCGGCCGCTGCACCAAAGGGACCTCCCTTTGCTAGAGTGTTGCCACCGAGAAAACTCCCGTCGAGAATATATAGAAAGAGCTTGTTTTTTCCTGCTATAACTTTCGCCGGAGATGCTGAAGGAGCTTTGGAAAGATCTTGTAGAGGTTGGTCTTGTCAATGTAGGCGCGGATGCAAGGCTTGTCCGTCGGGAAAGGCCTGTCGTCGTGCTGTATCCTCTTGCAAGGAGATAAGCGAAGTTCCACCCAGCCGGAACTCCAGCACTTGGACAGCAAGCTCGAGTTTTCCCTGTTCCTCTCGAGAACCTGGCGCTGCTTGTTGTGCGCGAAGAACTCCCGAGAATCCAAACGGTCCGCAGCCATTCCCTGCCGCACTTGTATGTTGAGAAGGATCTCCTTCTTGAGCTTGGGCATTTCCAGGATTGTTATGAAGTCGGGTCCAAACTGGTTGTCGGTTTTAGTCTGTAGGAATGTTGGCCTGTCACGTCCCAGGCCAAGCCATCTCTCAAACGTCCAATTCTGTCCAAGTCGAACCATTAGAGGGGTGCCGGCCTGTGGAGCTGGGAGCTTAACTCTGGCCTTGACAAGCTCCAAGCTTTGCTCTTTCGTGCCGCCTGTTTCGTCGTAGGCGAAATATTTCTTGACAGCAACAGAGTCAGCATTAACGTTCGTTTCCTGCTCCAGCTCCACCGCAGCATCATTTCCTTGTGGTGCACTTCTTTCCCTGTCCTGGACGAACAGCTTCTCCAGTGGCTCGTCCCGGCTAAACAGGTCTAGGATGTACGCAGCGCAGTACTTTTCGAAGTGGGAGACACGTTCGCTCTCGCTTGTCAGGCCTTCGTACCGGTGGAAAATTTCCTCCCTCACTTTCGGCACAAAGATGTAGCACAGTGCCGCCTGGACGAGTCTCTCCGTCACCACCGCACACACGGCATAGTTCCACTTGACTACGTCCTTGTTGATAGGAGCTTCTCTCGTGGCCACCTCGAGAGGATTGGAGTCGCAAAATCCCAGCTTTAACACGCCGATCCCCAGGTCGACGAGCTTGATTGACGAGTTGTGCGTGAAACAGTAGCCTTTCCCACCCAAGTAGAACGCCTCTGTAATGTCTCTGAGCACACTCCGCAGGTAACGGTCCGAGCGCAGGATCATCAATGTGTCGTGGACAGAATTCGGTGCATTTAGCTGGCTGCCACCTTTGGTCGCGAGTGTTAATGCGAAGTCCTCCAGAAATTCCAAAGCCTTCTCTCTCGGGGTACGCTTGCTGATGTACGCGTGCAGAGCACTAGCGATTGTGCCAGCACGGGCCTGGTAGTACTTGGAAAACAGCCTTTTGTAGTCGCCGGGCCCCAAAAAGCTGGAGACATAGTCCGAGAAGGCTCCAAAGCTGCTGGAATCTTCAAAAGTTCGGCTAGTAGCCACTATTTCCTGCGTGAGCTGCTCGGACTCCCCGCTGCAAACCGGCGATTCCATATCCTGAGCCTCCGCGAGAAGTTCTCCCCCCGTTCCAGCTAGAATACACGCTGTTGGAACCTTCTTCTGCGTTCTAAACGCCTTGACGGCCTGCGAGAGCAAACTCTTGAGCTTCGCCGGGTGGATGTCGGATCTAAACCTGTTCCTGAGCGGCGGCAGTGCCTCATCCACCACAAACAGCAGCTTCCCGCTGCTGCCTGCTAGACCACCATCGATCCTCTCGTAAACTTCTTCGACGAGAGCCGAGAACTTCTCTTCCAGGTACGCGCTCGGCAACTCTTGCTTGATCACGAACAGCGTCAACTCCCGAAACACGTCTCGAGGCCGGCACTCGGTCTGGCAAATCAGCCACTCCAGCGGCGACATCCCCGGCTTGATCTCCAGAGCCTTCGAAAAGATGGCCAGCCTCGCGACCAAAGCACACAGTGCCGCGTCCATGCCAACTCGTCGCGGGATAAACTCCGTGGCCTTGTTGTGACTCGGGTAGCAAAGCTTGAGCGTCTCTACAACCGCTGCGAAGTCCTTCGATTCACCGTTCTCCACCCGCGAGGCCACGAAGTAGAATCCAAAGTTCTGTGCCAGGACTTCGTAGAGAGTTCTCGTTTTTCCACACCCCTTTCCACCGACGAGGAAAACGCAGTGATTTGTAGCGGCCTCTCGGAGTCGAGTAACGATCTCGGTGGCCAGCGTCCCATCGTTTCTCGAATCCTCGAGCCTGTGATGGAGAAGGCTGGGCACCGCCTTGGCCGGAGTGCTAAAGGACGCCACTTCCACGTCCACATTGGGATACTTCTGGTAGAATATCGGAGGATCGCTCACGATGCCTTCGAGCGTGGATCGATTCTTGTCCCAAAATCCGTCCAGCAGCGATTCGAAAGGCTCGGCTTCTGCGCATCCAAATCCGTGAGAAAGAATGCGCCCATTCGTTTGTCCTCACCTTCGTGCCCGCCGGATGGATTGTGGCCGTCGTGCAGCGATTGGAACGCCTCGGGAGATTCCCGAGGCGCGGGAGATGGATCTGCGAGTGGAATGCGTCACAAGAATGCGCCATAGCTTCACACATTTCGCTCTTACCTCCGTTCAAATCGTTCTCCATACCGAAGCCCTAAACCCTGAACCCAGAATATTCTTTGGTTCTTCTTTTAGGGTTCTTGGGAATGGCTCGAAGGCAGGATGTCGTCTGTCGAGATTTCCAGCGCGGGACGTAAGTGAAAAGTTTGATTTGGTCGATCCAGGCTTGATTTCTCGTGTTTCCAGCTGCCGGTTCGGTGCGCATTGCAAATTTCTCCACCAGCAACAGGTAGATTTGTAGCATCCGATTAAAGAGATGTTTTGGTTTTGATCGAGCTCTTTCAGCCGGGATTTGGGAGGCAAAATCAGGCTGTTCAAGCGCCTGTTCAAGCGCCAGAACACAGGTACTTTTCTCTGTTTCCTTCGATTCTTGCTCAATCGTGCTTTGTTTTTTTCTCTCTTTTCTTCCAATAGGTGCAATGATCCGAGAGCATGCAAGGAGAGAATTCGAGATGATTTCACGAATGAAAGGCCGAGTTATTGGCGCTTGACGTGCTACGCTCATTGGAAACAGTTAAGTTCGCTTCCATCCTTTTCTTTCTTTTGTTCAAGGAAGAAAACAACTCTTTTTTCTTTGCTTCTCTAGCCTTCCCAATGATATTTCTGGAGATACAAGCTTTGAGGAGCTGCGAGCCATGGCTTACGAATCTGCTCTACAAGGAATGCCGCTCCGAGATATTGTAAGCCAAGCTTTTTCCTTCTCTTAACTGGGTTACTTATTCGTGCACCATAGACGAGCAGGGAAGCATATATGTTTCGTGCCAAGGAGGCAGAATTTGACGCCCTCAAGAGAGATCCTTACAAAGCACCAGCGAGCAAAGGCTTCTCCAATGTCCAACCTTCGCCACTAGCGTCAAGTACAATCTTTGGCAAGCTCGTGCCAAACAACTCGCCTATATCTCAGATGTTTAAGCAAGATACCAAGTAAGTAATGTTTGCTACTACGTTTTCATCAACTTTATCTCTCGGTAACAGCATGGGAGGATTTGGAAATGGACCGGTTATTTCTCCGCCTCAGCAGATCCAACCAGCGGCTTTCAGCTTTCCATCACCTTCCCCCTTCCCTGCTCAGTCGGTTTTTCCACAAAATCCTCAAAGTCCATCGCCATTCACCGTGCAGCAGCCATCTCCTTTCAATCCGGTGTCATCTTTCGGCAGCAATAATGCAATGCAAAATGCTTTCAGTCCTCTGCCAGCTCCAGCGATTGTCCAGAGTCCATTCCAGCAGCCTTCTGGTAAGCTTAAGCAAATACACCATCCATTCGGTTCTAACGAATTTTGTCGCATCAGTTTCTCCTCCGACCGCGGCTGTTTTACCAATGTAAAAGCTTCTTGTTTTGGTTTTGAAACGTTTGTTACTTAAAAACAACATGCAGAACTCCAGAAGAGACTGCGACGTGGGGTGTGGAGCAGTGGGAGCTTGGCCAGGTAAAAAATCCTCTCATACTTTGTTTTGAGGCTTTAAGACGAGGAACTTGGCTGCTCCAGATTCCAGAGGACGAACCGCCTGTAGCGGTCAGATAGCAAATTGAGGTTCGTCGTCGTCGTCGAGAGAGATACGCGTAAATCTTCACTGACTTTTATATTGGCTTTACTATAATGTTGAATTTACTTTTATAGCTATCACTTTGAGAGCTCAAGGCCGATACGTGGCCTACGAGAGTATCGACACCGAAAGGCGCCGGAAACACAGCCGCTGATTCGTAAGTACTTGCGTGGTGGATGATCTTAATTGCCGTCTCATAACACGCGCTTTCAGGAAAGCTTTTCACTTGTCGGAAACGCTACGGTGACAAGTTGGACGACAAGTTTGACAAATCGTGCACAGTGCAGAGCAATAAATGGAGATTGCCTTGCAAACGAACAACCAAATGGATTTCATTCCCGACCTCTTCGACGAGTTGGTGCTCGAGAACATCTTGCCAAGGCTACCTTGGTACACTCGCCCGGTGTGCCGAGCAGTCTCCAGCTCCTGGAAAGCTCTCGTGGACAGCGCTCTACGCGACGATCATCTCATCAGCAGCACTCGCGACTTCCAGCTCCCGCTGCTCCGAGACGCTCCAGTGGTCTGTCTGGGAAACGAATACGAGGTACTCGAAGCTCTCATTTCGGACAGGTCACGGGGGTCACAGGTGTGGCGGAAGCTCCCGCCGATAGAGAATCTACCCGAGGGACGAGCAAAGATTGTTGCATGGTCCGGCATGGTTCTCGTGTGGACTTTGGCACCAGGCAAGTGCTGGTCACCTTCGAGAGATCTCATCTTTAAACTCGACGTCGGTGGTGCTAAGTGGACGTGGGACGTGATTCCGGCCAAAAACTCCAGTAACTGGTTCGACGCCATCGCTTTTAGTGGCAAGATATACTCGACCTGGGAAAACAGGGGATCTCCCTATAGCCTCCGTGCTCCTGTCAAGCTGGACGTCAGGGTATTTGATATGAAGGTGGACGCGTGCAACGCTATTGGAAAGTGGAATTTTTCCAACATTGCGGTGGCGCTCTCGCCGGCTGGCGACGAAAACTTGTATGGTCTACAGTGGCACAAGGAGACAGTGGAACTCATGCGCTACGATGCTGCGTCGAGTACGTGGAAGCCCCAAGAGGAGATACCAAGGCAGACAGAGCACAGGAACTCGACGCTCACGGTAGTGAGTGGTGATTGCTTTGATCCTCCAGTGAAGCTGGGAATCAATGCCATCACTTACGGTTACCTCGATGGCAATGCTATACACTGGTATAACTCGGCAGTGCAAAAGACTTGGATGGCGATTGCGGAGAACAGGCCCGAAGAAGCAGCGAGTTTCAAGGTTTTTGTGATCCGAGGCGTCCTTTACGCAGGCTCGACGTCGATCGATCCGAAGAAAATTAAACGCTGCAAGATTTTCGAAGGAAAGATAGATGTGGCAAGCAGGAGGATGGTGTGGGAACCAGTTGCTGGCTTTCCCGTGGCGATCACTTGCTTCACTCGGATGACTTAAGTATGAGTATGTCCCTGTTTCTTCGATGCGATTGATCCTTTGTCTCGGTTTTTCCACCGCTGGCCGCCGCTATACCAATGTAATTTTGTCCTCTTTTTCTTGTATTCTTTCTCACGTCTTGTTCCTTGTGATTTCCAGATGCAGTATAGTGCTCAAAGTATAGCGGTCTAAGGCGGAAGATCTGTGAGTGCGTTGTGAGCTCTTTCTCGTTTTTAACACTCGCTTTCAGGATAGGAGCGATATGAGCGATACCGATCTCATTCCCGGTCTCTGCGATGAGCTTGCTCTTGAGAACATCCTACCGAGGTTGCCATGGTATACTCGTCCGGTGTGCCGAGCAGTCTCCAACTCCTGGAGAGCTCTAATGGACAGCGCTCTTCAATACGACGCTCATCTCCTTAACACCACTCGCAACTTCCAGCTCCCGCTCCTCCAAGACACTCCACTCGTGAGCCTGGGAAACGACTCCGAGGTACTCCAAATTCTCATTTTGGACAGATCACAGGGGTCATGGCGAAAGCTCCCACCGATAGAAGGGCTCCCAGTGGGCCGAGCACAGATGGTGGCGTGGTCCGGGATGGTTTTCGTGTGGACTTTGGCTCCTGGCAAGTCCTGGTCACACTCGAGAGATGTCATCTTTAAGCTGGATATTGGCCGTGCAAAGTGGACATGGGACAGGACGCCGGCTAGGAGGGCGAGTAACTGGTTCGACGCCATCGCCTTTGGTGGCAAGATATATTCCAGCTGGGAATACAGGAGATCTGTCTATGGTATTCATCCTTCCGTCAAGCTGGACGTGATAGTATATGATATGGAGACGGGAACCTGCGACACCATTGAAAAATGGTTTGTCTCGGGCGCTGGGGTGGTGCTCTCGCCGGCTGGAGACGAGATCTTGTATGGTTTTCACGATAAAACGATGGAACTTATGCGCTACGAGGCTGCCTCCAATGCGTGGAAATCGCAAGAGCAGATAACAGGGAAGCCAGAGTTCCGGGCCACGAAGGTGGTCTCCGGTGATTGCTTTGAGCCTGCAATGGAGGTGGGAACGAACGTCATCTCTTACGGAGGGGAGGCCATGCACTGGTATAACTCAGCAGTGCAAGAGGCTTGGGTGGCGATCGAGAAGTGGCCCAGGACGGACAGGTTTAAAGTGCTGGTGATCCGTGGCGCGATTTATGCAATCTCTAGGATGGTTTATTCGAGTGGAAGTTTGAAGCACTGTGAGATTTTGAGAGGGAAGATAGATGTGGCAAACAGGAGGCTGGTTTGGGACGCAGTTGCGGACTTCCCCTTTCCTGTGACAATCACTTGCTTTGTTAGAATGGCTTGAAGTAAAAAAGATATTGTTGATATTTCTTTTTAGTGCTCGTTGGGCTTTTAGAGTGCTCTGGACTTTGTTTAATCGAGTCGATTGGAGTTTTCTCATTGGTCTTTCCTGGGACGCGTTTTAGCGTCGCCTCGGCACCGTTGGGCGGCTCGTTGCCTGCACCCCGTGCAAGAAGCGGCTGAAACTAAGCGGGTGAACGCTTGGAGGCAGAGGATCACTGCGCCATCTGTTTTGTTTATGCTGTAGCCGCCAGGCGGAATAGAGACTCATACGGACTGTACCACGCACTTTTTTCGAACAAGGAAAAAACTCTTGGACAGGTTTCTTAAAAACTGCACGCGGCTTGCTCGATCCGCCACGGCCTGGAGGCGCGCTCCTCTGCTACTGCGCAGCTTGCCCACCCTGTGGATGGGCTTGGTTGATTTTATTTATTTAGTATTTGGATATATTAACTATATTACTAAATCAGGCTAGAATATAGTTGGATTTTTTTTTTTTTGTGTTTTCACAAAAATGAATTAAGAGTTTTAGGTACTACTTTAAACATTTTTTATGATTATTAGTTTTTGTATCCCATATTACATTATGAGGTGTAATTGCGTTATATATTACAAAGTTACAGTCGTTCTGCATAATAGAATATGTGAAAATAAAACAATCTACACAATAATATTCTATTGACCATAAAACTTCTTTCTTTTCAGAATATAATACAGAATTTCCATCAATTTGAGTTTTCCAATAACATAACTCAAAGTAACCTTCAGAATTATTAGATTGCCATAAGAGATTTGTACCAGAATAAAGGGAAGCTTTACAATTTGATTCAATAAAAAATATATTTTTACCATTTGAAGAAATTAACATCTGTCCCTTAAAAAGTATATCATTATCAAAACCAGCATTTAAAGTATTTTTAGCAATATAACATTTATGTGGCAGTGACATCGTATAGATATATGTGTTAAAATTATTCATAGATATCGTATGATTGTTACTGAACCATAAAAGAAAATTATATTGAAGTATATATTTCTCACCCACAATTTTACAAGACTTTGAGCCTGTTTCAATCATGAGTCTTTTATTAAGATTTATGTGGTCTCCAAAACCTTTTTTGAGTACCAAACCAAGAACAGTATGACTTTCTTGTAAACATGTTGATGGTGTTAAATCAATTCTTTGAATTTGCACTGCAACAGCTCCTCTGTCAAAATCTACATAGGTAAGATCATTATAATTTGGAGCATAATCAGTATATGTATGAATTTTTTTAATAAGTTTCTGAAAACCATATTTTATAATAAGATTCATCTCACTTTCGTAAAATGTATTATTTTCTCCCCATTCAATGTAACAATAAATATTACTAACAAAAAATATTAGGAAATTACAAATAAAAATCATTAATACACTAAACTAAAATTTAAAACTATTTATAGTATCATTTGTTCTTTATTATACATACATGTGTCTTTATAGAATACATAGTTCAAAAAGAAAGAGTTATTGAATATAACACTTGGTTTACTTTGGAAATTTATAAATTCTTTTATGTAAATAGTGATCCATAATCCCTATTTCTAAAATTTTTAGACTTGAATTTTCTTAGCTATCAATTATAATATTACAAAATAGATTACAATTATATTTATATTAGCTTATTGTAATTCAACAAATCTATACTAAAAAAATAATAAAACAGCTTGTAAGCAAATAATATATTATGTAATATTGTATCAGAAATAATAATAGTAGATTTTCAATTATAGATTTATTAAGTTTAATTTATAGTACTTTATTAAGAGTTATAGTGTAAGTGAATGTGAGAATATAATTTTTTTTTCACTACCATAATTTTTATATTACACACTTAGTCCATATAACTCATCTGGGAATGTAGAAATTTTTGTCACTATTAATAAAAATGCTTATATTACTTTTGAAAGAATAGTTTAGAGTAAGAGAAATGAAAAAATAAACAAGATGATAGAAAGCACCAACTTTTCATGGCATTATAATTTATATATTAATTCATCTAAAACTCTTTTTACCTACTTATATCCTAATCCTCCCACATAAGAAGATCAAAGCATATTTTTATGGTAAATCTCTATTAGGAATTTTTAGGAGTTACTTGTGCATAATAATAACAGAAATCAAACTTTTTGAAAGACTCAAAGTAATCTGATATCAAAGAATCAAGTCCATCTACACTTCCAATATTGAAAGGTAATATTGCATGAAAGTAATGGTTGTAGATAAGAATACCAATTTGCAATTATAAGATATAACATTGTCATTGGTATATGATAAACTTTTTAAGTAAGGATGCAATTAAGTAAGGATTTCAAGTAAGGATGCAATTAACTTTCTTCCACCTCATTATCAATATATCAATTCCTACTATATTTCCTATATTGGGATTGTGAAGAAGACTTACCTTATGCAATGACAAAATTGCTACATTCAGGCAAAAGGGTGAGTAACTTGGGAAGTGCAATCACTAGGATAATGAAGGAAAAGTGAAAAAATATAGCAAATATGAAGTTAAAAGCTAAGGAGATTTAGATATTCAAACATTATGAATGCTCTAGAACTATTTTAATATCACTTTATGCTCTTATTTCTTCGCATTTTAGTTATATACTTGAGAATTGCTTTATGCTCTAATTTCTTCACTCTTATAATGCATACGATCATTGGATGAGATTTAAATATACTATCACCATGAATCCTCAGAACATTAAATGATATATAAGGATAAGATAACCATTAAAAACTCTTTTATAAAGTAATTGCCCCTTTTTTAATTGATTAAAGGGAAAAAGATAAGATGTATTACATATATTATCAAAGAAAATAGCATCAATTCGATTTTTATTGATTAATGGCTACTTAAAGTATTATATACCCTTGAATAAGTATATTCTTACCTCTAAAATTAGAGGTGTTAGTTCTCCTTGGCTAAATAGAGATTATTAGTCAATAGTTGATAAAGATATTAAAAAATACACCAACTTAATTGAGTTAAGAGACTATTTTTATCTACATAAAATTTGCTAGCACTCAAATACCTTTTAGCCATCACTAACAAAGAAATGACTAATAGAGTTAGCCATTCTTCTTACTCTCAATGTCATCTAGCTTATAAAAAATTATATATTTTTGCTTGTAAGTGACATAGAGAGAGAAGCTAAAGGCCCTAACCTTCTTGAATATACAAACTAAACCAATCAATAAGGTTTAGATAGTCTATTATAAATAAACAATTAGAATTGTTTATATAATCATGCCCTTTTAATGGAAATAAGGTTATATGATCAATTGATTGTAATTATCCCATGACTAAAGATTTCACATACATATTAAGTGCTGAAGCTAATTTGCATATACTAGCCCAAACTTCAAGAACAATAAAATGGACAATATCAAAGTCATAAACAAAGATATCTTAGAAATATCAAATTAATAGTGAATAAATTTTATATTAAAACAAAAGAGTATTCCAATTATGTTATCATTTGATAAACCAAAATTTGTAGTATAAGAACCACTAAGATAACTATAGGTAGAAGATATAGGATGAACTATCTAACTAAATTTAATTGCAAATGTATTATCAAGAAAACTCAAAATTTTTTTTTAAGTCATTGTCTTCTAGATGTATCATGAATCATATTAGTATCGATACTCAACGTGTCTAAGGCAAATAGAATTTCTAAAAGCTTTATTTTCTAGATTATTATGTGGCCTTCTATAGAAATATATATGGTTAGTTTCATGATAGTGAATGTACAATATGTATTTTGCCTAAGTATGACAATTCCACTAATATTATGCCCAATCATGTGCATGACTAAATTTGCAACATGTTTCCTAGATACCAATTTCGAAATCTATCATTGATGCAAGTTTTTTTTAAACTTTATTGCTTATTAAATGATATTGTGATTAATTGCATAATAGATAGTAGTTCTATGGTAGAGGTAGCACTTGACTCTAGTAGATCAATGTTTGCTATTAAAGAACATCATTTCTTCAAATGCCAGCTTAAAGGATTTCATGAGCTACCTTCAATCTCACTATTTACAAAAGCAAAAATAAAGTAAAATAATGAATGTAAGATTTTCTTTATGATTATATTGATTATTAATAATTTTTATTGTGTTTCTTATGAAGTGAGTTATACTTGATATAGATAATAGATTTATGTTGGATTGTTTGGAGATCACTTATTGAGTATATTTTTGTCATGTTAGCTTTTGAATTAGTATAGATATACTTTTCATTAGCTTTTGCATTATAAATTTTGGCTTATAAATGTATCAAAAGGATGTTATACGTTATAATTATTTTTTAGCATTTAAATTGGTTGTTATAAGATTTGTGATTATTGTTATATAAGACTTGGCTATAAACTTCTCATTATTCCATTTATTAAGAGTTGTTGGGGAAAGCATTTTGGCTCTTTAATTTAAATTGATGCTTAAATTAGTGTTTGCATCTAGCAATTCATAGTGATGATTGATTTTCATCTAGCATAATTGTTAGAGATCTTGCTTGATTATTATTAGTGATGGATGGTTTATCATTCTTCGGGATGGTAGATTCTTCTTTGAACAGTGATGTGCATCTTTATTAATGGGGTGATTGATAATTTTTATTATAGTTAGTTGTTACTTTGATGGCTTCTAGCTTTTTGCATTACTATATATTTTTTTGGTTTGGATTAGATTTTTAGGTTTGAGATATCAATAGAATGTTGTTAACATTTTTTTGAACAACTTTGGTTCCTTCATATTATTGACTAGGATTTATTAAAATGATTTAGTGTAATAATTCACTTGATCAGGTGTTTATTGGTCTTGTGGCATTACATCTATTTTGTTCATCAAGGCAAAAATTCAAAATCAATAATAAAAACACAACAACCACCCTACTTCTTAGTTGGAAAGTAAAAGAGCCTTGATATATTTGTCAATTAAACTTTCCCCATCACCTTCCTTATTTGTCCATATATAGCCATCACTGT